GGTAAATCATATTGAAAAACTAATTTAGCTACCACAACAATCTGATCCTAAGATCCTATACCATGCTAAAGTTATCTACGTGTTGATCTGAGGATATCACTGTCTTGAAGTTTCCTTGGCGTGTTGTGTATTGTGAACTGCGTAATACTGACACAGCCTCAGCTAACACTATGACGTCTACAAGCTTTAATACATGATTTACCGTGTATGCTTGACCTCATTAAGTCTACTTTGGTTACATAAACACACCCCGACAGTTTGGAAATTTTCATATCGTGTACGATGAAGTATATAAAATAAAAACGTATCATAAATTTTGCTTGACTCACTTTCTGTAAATATGGAGGTAAGTGATGTCACTCTTCCTGACTGGTTATTTAACAAGCACCACTTGTAATGATGATGATAACATATACTGTAGATAGAGTGTACAGTAGATAGTACAATACACTGTTTACAGATACTGTAAGTTGGGTGTACAATACACTGTTGACAGATACTGTAAGTTGGGTGTACAATACACTGTTGACAGATACTGTAAGTTGGGTGTACAATACACTGTGGACAGATACTATTAGTTGGGTGTACAATACACTGTTGACAGATACTGTAAGTTGGGTGTACAATACACTGTTGACAGATACTGTAAGTTGGGTGTACAATACACTGTGGACAGATACTATTAGTTGGGTGTACAATACACTGTTGACAGATACTGTAAGTTGGGTGTACAATACACTGTTGACAGATACTGTAAGTTGGGTGTACAATACACTGTAGACAGATACTATTAGTTGGGTGTACAATACACTGTTGACAGATACTGTAAGTTGGGTGTACAATACACTGTGGACAGATACTGTAAGTGGTGTGTACAATACACTGTTTACAGATACTGTAAGTTGTGTGTACAATACACTGTTGACAGATACTGTAAGTTGGGTGTACAATACACTATTGACAGATACTGTAAGTTGGGTGTACAATACACTGTTGACAGATACTGTAAGTTGTGTGTACAATACACTGTTGACAGATACTGTAAGTTGGTGTACAATGCACTGTTGACAGATACTGTAAGTGGGGTGTACGATACACTGTTGACAGATACTGTAAGTGGGGTGTACAATACACTGTTGAAAGATACTGTAAGTGGGGTGTACAATACACTATTGACAGATACTGTAAGTTGGGTGTACAATTTACTGTGGACAGATACTATTAGGTGGGTGTACAATACACTGTTGACAGATACTGTAAGTTGGGTGTACAATACACTGTTGACAGATACTGTAAGTTGGGTGTACAATACACTGTTGAAAGATACTGTAAGTGGGGTGTACAATACACTGTTTACAGATACTGTAAGTTGTGTGTACAATACACTGTTGACAGATACTGTAAGTGGGGTGTACAATACACTGTTGAAAGATACTGTAAGTTGGGTGTACAATACACTATTGACAGATACTGTAAGTTGGGTGTACAATTTACTGTGGACAGATACTATTAGGTGGGTGTACAATACACTGTTGACAGATACTGTAAGTTGGGTGTACAATACACTGTTGAAAGATACTGTAAGTGGGGTGCACAATACACTGTTGACAGATACTGTAAGTTGGGTGTACAATTTACTGTGGACAGATACTATTAGGTGGGTGTACAATACACTGTTGACAGATACTGTAAGTTGGGTGTACAATACACTGTTGACAGATACTGTAATTTGGGTGTACAATACACTGTTGACAGATACTGTAAGTGGGGTGTACAATACACTGTTGACAGATACTGTAAGTTGGATGTACAATACACTGTGGACAGATACTATTAGTTGGGTGTACAATACACTGTTGACAGATACTGTAAGTTGTGTGTACAATACACTGTTGACAGATACTGTAAGTTGTGTGTACAATACACTGTTGACAGATACTGTAAGTTGGTGTACAATGCACTGTTGACAGATACTGTAAGTGGGGTGTACGATACACTGTTGACAGATACTGTAAGTGGGGTGTACAATACATTGTTGACAGATACTGTAAGTTGTGTGTACAATACACTGTTGAAAGATACTGTAAGTGGGGTGTACAATACACTATTGACAGATACTGTAAGTTGGGTGTACAATTTACTGTGGACAGATACTATTAGGTGGGTGTACTATACACTGTGGACAGATACTGTAAGTTGGGTGTACAATACACTGTTGACAGATACTGTAAGTTGGGTATACAATACACTGTTGAAAGATACTGTAAGTGGGGTGTACAATACACTGTTGACAGATACTGTAAGTTGGGTGTACAATTTACTGTGGACAGATACTATTAGGTGGGTGTACAATACACTGTTAACAGATACTGTAAGTTGGGTGTACAATACACTGTTGACAGATACTGTAAGCTGGGTGTACAATACACTGTTGACAGATGCTGTAAGGTGGGTGTACAATACACTGTTGACAGATACTTTAAGTTGCTGTAATGTTTTATCTATGAGCTAGAATTGTGTATAAATTATTGTACCTCAGCATCCGATATGTTGCTATTTTATCTATTGAGTGTATGTAATTTTCCTATCTTTTTGGTTTAGAGAACACTGGAAGAAGTGTTCCTCATGTTACAGAACCAATGTTTCCGAAATATCGTATATTTTTCGATGTAGCCATTTCAAAATATTCTAAATTTTACACAACTTGTTTGGTGTATAGCCAACTACTGTTGTAGACTTTTAGAACCGGAACGTAAGTTAACGTTTTCATGAATTCTGTCCTGCATGACCTGAAATTGGAGAGATACTTTACACATATAACAACAGATTGATTTCAAAAGTACTTGATTTTTCCAAGGTCTATTACACAGGTTTTTTAGTTACGAATAGTAAACTCGGTGTGCAGTGGGCTATGATATAGTGATGTGGAAAAAGAGGTTAACAACTATAATATCTAGAATGTATTTCCCCCATAATAGAGCATCAGCTGTGGGCAATTTCTCCTTAATTGTGATTGTTATTTATGTCTTTATTCTCTCCGACGGTAAAGTTAAAATCAGTCTACTTTACAAAGATCCCGGTGTGACGTTGAAAATTGACCCATAGAAAACGGAACCGGGGTCAATTATCAACGTTACACCGGCTCATCGAATCTGCATCATGGTGATAGTTAAAATAAAGTTTGTGTTGGAAGGTCAGCAGTAATGTATCAAATGATTCTGTTCAATTGTGTGTCTTGTATATATATAGAATACATCGCTCACCACTTTTCTCTTTCTTCACCTCGCCAACATGCAGTTTATAGTTTAAGACACTGGCCATGCATTTTATTTATCCTGCAACATTGATTGAAAATCAGAATACTAAAACTTAAACAGTTTTGTTCTTCAATCTGTGTTTACCTGACATTGACGTTACGCTGAATTTTGCCTGATGACGGATGCCAAAATAATTGCTCCGCGCGGAAACAAACTTCTTCGGATATAACAGCGATTTTATGTATTTCATTAATCAACTTGTTTAGTACAACATGTAAATTTGCTTATTTCAACAACTATTTGTACTTATAAACGTAATAATTAATATTTAAGTAAATTCATGGAGTAATTTTGCCGAATTATCGCACGTGCTAAAATACAGCTGCTTTCCGTCACTGCTGAAAACAGCAAAAATACATTTGGCCTGACGGTGCCAGTGGCAGGATAAAATCTTGTTTTTGTCATTCACATCCTAGGTAAAAAGTAAATGAAACATTTATCATGAAACAGTTTATCTAGACTTGACATTTTAGTTGTGTACAGAGCGTCAGTCCAAACAAACATCAGAGGTCCTGTGACGAAATTCTTACTCGAACGATCCCTTTTCTACCACACTAAAACTAAGTGGAATCAATCGAACAGTCAGTGTGAATTAAACCATTATTCAAAGTTAATTGAATTTCTACAGAAGCAAGACCAGCAATCCTACAGTACATTTTTGTTCAATATGTGAAACGCATTACACATCATAAAATTATCACTTGACATCGTCTAGACGCACAATAAACTAAAACTCTCAACGTCATCCTCTAACACTGGTTCAGCGAGTGTCACAAGAATACATTCATCTTGTTTTTTTTGCCGAATTACGCGTGTACCATTTATACACATAAGCCGTGGTTATTCTAGAAACAGGTGAACGCCAACGCCATTGGGTGTACAGTTTTGTAGTATATAAGTAAATATTTCACTAGTCGGTGGCCACACAAATGTCCCGAGGTAAGACAGTCAGACATTTACTAAAATATATATACTGAAATGTTAGCACCATTGAGTCTGCAGTCGGGTTACAAATGTTACGTATTATTCAACAAAAAATAAGTGTTTGTTATCATAAAATATCATACATTTTCTAATTATCATATCGTACAATTTCTACAAATGTTGGTTTAATTACCAAATTTCACATTACTATATATTATACAATGTTCAATGTTCTAGTTTAACAGTGAAAATACATAATATAATGTATTACTTATTACAATGTCATATAACAATACATACATGGGTATGTGCGTATTATAACTACAGGTTTCATGTAATTTTCGTTTGTTCAGTTTGATTTCGGTGGATTTAATATACCAACATGCTGGTTTAAAAGCCAATTCACATACAATGTTATATAATTACCATGTATATTCATTACACTGTATTATTGTGTCCCTCTGGTAACAAATACGATATGATCCGTGTGTATTGTTATCTGATATACACGATGTACGTAAATGATACTAAGAGATAAAACGGTGTATATGTATAGGTATATCGGAATGTATTTTTTAAAAAGACCCTAGGTCATTCTTGTTGTAACAAAAACTTATTTACATCTAACTCCGATGTCTTTTGCAACTTAAATGTCGTAATGGCTTCCGTGTGTATACGTGCAGCCAAACACTATTTAGCAGCACTCTCCATACGTCAAATCAAAAGGACGATACACAAATATGTTTATTCTGTTTTCAGGGTGACTCCTCTAAGGCAATATGTAATCCATCAACATGAGTGGCGGGTCGACCGGAAGTGATTCGGGGACGTCGAGAGAGGTCAAACTTCTTTCAACAATAGGTAAACTTTCATTCTATACAACACACAGACACACATGAATTTACGAAACACTTACAATATAACTATTCGGATCGTGGGGTTAGAATGGGATGCCACGTTTCTGTGAATACAAGGCAAGATAGATCGCCATATTTTTTTTATTGGGGGGCAGTGAGTTTGTTGTTTGTTTGTTTGTTATAGAGGTCAAACACTTACTCCAGATCTACCAACGTCAATAGATATAAAACATTGGTTGTTACAGGGGTCAAAGACTTACTCCAGATCACTCCACGTCAATAGATATAAAACATTGGTTGTTACAGGGGTCAAACACTTACTCCAGATCACTCCACGTCAATAGATATAAAACATTGGTTGTTACAGGGGTCAAACACTTACTCCAGATCACTCCACGTCAATAGATATAAAACATTGGTTGTTACAGGGGCCAAACACTTACTCCAGATCACTCCATGTCAATAGATATAAAACATTGGTTGTTACAGGGGTCAAAGACTTACTCCAGATCTACCAACGTCAATAGATATAAAACATTGGTTGTTACAGGGGTCAAAGACTTACCCCAGATCGGTCAACGTCAATAGATATAAAACATTGGTTGTTACAGGGGTCAAAGACTTACTCCAGATCACTCCACGTCAATAGATATAAAACATTGGTTGTTACAGGGGTCAAAGACTTACTCCAGATCACTCCACGTCAATAGATATAAAACATTGGTTGTTACAGGGGTCAAAGACTTACTCCAGATCGGTCAACGTCAATAGATATAAAACATTGGTTGTTACAGGGGCCAAAGACTTGCTCCAGGTCGGGCACATATCAAAGAGCGGATGGCTAAGGCGGAAGACACAACGGGGAACACAACGACTGTCGATTGGTGCCATATCATGTACGTCCTCTTTCCATTGTGTGATTCATTCGTTTGGCATAGGAAGCGCTGGAGGGGGGTGCAGTCGGGGAGAGGAGACTGTCACCCCCTCAATTCCTGACAACTTCCTACGCCACTCTGCCATTTTCACTGTTGTGATTTCACTAGTATCATTGAATAAATTTATAAATAAACCATTTCAAGTTAATGGCAGTTTCATTTTGTGAACAGTGTCAGTGATATAAAGATACATCACAACTGTGTAATTATTACTACCTTCATTTGTTCCAGGGAGGACATTCTTCTGTTGTATATCGGAAGGATGTATGTACCACTTTGATTCCACTACATCAAAGAATCCTAAGACAGCTTTTGCACTTACAGGATATAACAGGTACAAGTTACAGGATATAACAGGTACAAGTCACTGGGTATAACAGGTACAAGTCACATGATATAACAGGTACAAGCCACATGATATAACAGGTACAAGTCACTGGGTATAACAGGTACAAGCCACAAGATATAACAGGTACAAGTCACATGATATAACAGGTACAAGTCACATGGTATAACAGGTACAAGTCACATGATATAACAGGTACAAGTCATATGATATAACAGGTACAAGTCACAGGATATAACAGGTACAAGTCACTGGGTATAACAGGTACAAGTCACAGGATATAACAGGTACAAGTCACTGGGTATAACAGGTACAAGTCACATGATATAACAGGTACAAGTCACATAATATCACATGTACAAGTTACGGCATTTAACTTTTACAAGTCACATAATATAACAGGTACAAGTCATAGGATATAACAGGTACAAGTCACTGGGTATACCAGGTACAAGTCACATGATATAACAGGTACAAGTCACATGATATAACAGGTACAAGTCATATGATATAACAGGTACAAGTCACATGATAGAAGTGATACTAAACAACAAAAAATCTATCGAAAGCTTTACCAAAAAAACGGGTTCACAATTCAAGCAAAGTTTTTTTTCACGGGGACCATTGAAATGTACAAGTGTAATAAGACCAGGCGTACAAGTACAGGTACAAGTCACATGATATAACAGGTACAAGTCACTGGTTATAACAGGTACAAGTCACATAATATCACATGTACAAGCCACGGCTTTTGACTGGTGCAAGTCACAGGATATAACAGGTACAAGTCACTGGGTATAACAGGTACAAGTCACATGATAAAACAGGTACAAGTCACTGGGTATAACAGGTACAACTTCCAGATATAACAGATACAAGTCACAGGTTATATCAGGTAAAGTCACAGGATATACCAGGTACAAGTCACATGATAGAAGTGATACTAAACAACAAAAAATCTATCGGGTTCACAATTCAAGCAAAGTTTTTTTTCACGGGGACCATTGAAATGTACAAGTGTAATAAGACCAGGCGTTCCGAGAACATAAGAGTCTTCTGCTTCATTGACTACACCCGCCATGTAAATCTTTGTTAGTCCAAGTTATGCAAAAGATTGCTAAATGGCCTGCACTTCTGCAAACTCCGGGTTGCATTAATTTCCAACAGTCGATATCATAACTAGACCACTGATATCCAATTGACTGTGATATTTCAACACCATAGGTTGGAAGAGTGTAACGATACTATCTGGAAATGCAAAATCCACAATAAGGAAATTGAAATCATCACGTATATCAGAGAACTGATTGGAAATATGTCCCTGTTAGTTCCATTGTACGGAAAGAAAAAGTTTAAGCGGTTGATGTAGATTAATCTGTCGCACCCTTAAAGTCTGTGCGACATGAAGCTGGACGTATTTGATGCTCGTTAGTTTGCCTGCTGGTTCCGTTGTTGTGTATCTTGTTCTCATTTGAGAACGTAACATTACTTAGTATGATTGACAAAGGTTTACACGGCGGGTAATGAAGCAGAAGACGCTTACTCTTCCTGAACACTTATTCGCCTTTTCCATGAATCACCGTATATTTTTTTTCTTTTCTTCGTTCTTTTGTCTTGGTGTTATGGAATTTGAATTATGAGTATGTTGCCATGTTATTTTTTTTCTTTTTCTTTTTTCATTTTAAACCTGGAGGGTATATCCTATGGTCAGTTATTTTTGTTGTTATCTAGGACAAGATGTCATCAATTTACACGCATCTACAAGTGAAAATAAAGGATTTTTTATTGTCTGTTGCGATGTGAAATTACGGCATGCTTTAAAATTATTACATCATTACGAAATACAACAGATGGAAACGCAGGCATTGCTACTTTCCTTCATTTCACAGTAGGATCAGTCGTATTTCAGCCTCTACAAACCGGCTTTAAATCTAACAGATTTTAAAAATAAATATATAATTGAATTTGTGTATGACACTAATGTTTTAGAGTATCCCGGGTGGAGAATCAACAGCGACCACACTGTTTTGAGATCCAGCCTCCACTAGGAAATAATAGCATGAAAACGTATATGTTCTCCTGCGAGAAAGAGGCCGACATGCTGGTGAGTGATTAGAACAGGTGTATTTACCACATAATGGTTTGTATAGCCAAAACGTCGCACTTCGTATGGTATTGTCTTCACAAATACACACCATGGACAAAAATGATTTTATGTCCTTAAATAAAGAGTCAAATTTTACAAACTGCATATTTTAAAAATATTGTATATGTGTGAGTTATTTTCTGTTACAGGACTGGATGAGGAGTATATACCATGCTCTGCTTGTAGCCAATCACCAAGAAGCTCCCAAGTATGTAAATTATCAGTTATAGCGTATTGGTGAGGTCAATTTATTTTTTAATGAACCCGAAAACAAGCATCGACCGAGAACGTAATAATAAAAAGTCCATAATTGATTTGCAAACATACGATAAGTATAAATTTTGGACATATCATTTTTGTTAAAGTATAGTTACATCACCATTGTCATGACTTCGATAAATCCGTCATGAAAGTTTTTGTTTCTAATGAAGCACTTATGATTTTTCTTCTTCTTTTTCATGTAAAAGACGAAAGATTGTTGAAAAGTTGGCGAAAATGCACAGCTTATTTATTCAAAAATGCATTAGTAAATGATCTATTGTTAATCAGATGTGTCTAATTGATGCTTATTTAAAACTGACCAATCATATCGTTCGATAAACAAATACTGTACGTTTTCTGATTTATGTTGTTAGCAAAACCGTACTGACGAAGTCGGGGTACCCAGAAGTGGAAAAATCTGTCTTGACGGAGGTTCCGAACAGCGGATACTGTAACTTGGAAGAGTTAAAGGAAACGAAAACTAAGCAGCCGAAGAAACCTGCGGTTGATCGCTACAATCCATGGGGACGTAAGTATCCAATAATTATTGTCTTCGTTCCTGGAATGTGTCGGCGATTGATTATTTCACGAATTCATTTTATATCTGCCGCTAAATCGAATTAACTCGTCATTATAACTTTTAGAGCGAATTACAAATATTTATTTTTAATGGTTCTCAATCTTTACACTTTGGCTTAAAAATCATTCTTAATTTTCAGCAATGTTCAGTAAATCAGCTTCAAAAGAAATGTCTGATGGTCAAAAGAGCAGGGTACGTATTTATCAGAACAATTGTTTGTATAATACATCGTCATCATTTTTCTTGTATTATCCAGACATCTCTGTTATAATTCTGAAACAATACTACATATTTAGAATTATAATTCACATTGACATCCTAAGAATATTCCAGAGACCTTCGTTCAGTAATGATACAGTTCACGATTCTTTCTAATTTCGATGCTTCAATTCAGTTGATAAGAGATATAAACATTTCCTCAGACGTCCCTCAGGTATCGAATCAGCATCACTTTGAAATATTTTTGCAGATCACATTTAGATATTGATTCAGTAGATTGTTTGTTTAGGAACAGAAGAAGAAACCAGCAGAACAAAGTGAGGATCCAATATACGTTAACGAGGTAGGTTAATAAAACTTTCGTCATCAGAGTTCATGTATATCACAATGGCAGATTTTTTGTTTGTATCATCGAGGTTACCGGTAGTTTATCGCAACCTTTTTGTCTTGTTTTCTTACAAAATATTTGACAGTTTGTCATTTTTCCTTTAAAGTAATCTTCACTTTTCTTTCTAGCTCAAGTTTCCCCTATTTTTTCATTATTCTATTGAAGTCCTTCAGCCCTTTTCGTTTTTAAATTCCGTTTTTGGTAAATTTAAATCTTTTTTTGATACCAGTTAAAGTAATCTAACACGATTTCTTAAACATGAAATGAGAATAAAACATGCAGACAATGAAAAGGAATCTAGAAATATGTGGTTAAACTCCTATCAGTCTGGTTTCTGTAACAGTTTGGATAACAAAGACAAATCAATTCAAGAACAATAAAAATCGAACAAATACCAACTTTTTAATAATTCAATAGGATATTTGAAAACAGAAAAAGAAACATATCAATATCTTCCGATACACAGTAAAACCTAAACCTATGTACATATATATAACTACCAAGTAACCATTACATAACGAATTTATAACATTAGAAACTTCGTTCTTGATGTTGATGCATACTGCTGCACGAGAAGGGAACAAACACACAAAAAACTCGATTCTAGTGTTCATCTGCGAATTTTCTCAGTAGAGCACTAGTTTGGTGCACAACACAGAGAGAACGATTTTTCAGATTAAGTATGTAGGTACATGTACCTATAAATAGTCATTGTTAGCTTCCAGAATAAGTAGTCACTGTTAAGATAGTAATACAATGTTGATTAAATTACATTTTTTGAATATTGCTTACTCACATTTGTTAGTTATTTGGATATGGAACACATGTCAAACGTTTTGAATGAAAAGTAAAAATTTGTACATTGTTGAATGTCTTTCAATTTTGGGCAAGTGATGCATAGCTGTCACCAAACAGTAAAATTTCTACAGACCGGATCTTGGATTGGTCTGAAACATATTTGTACAATTTACACATAGTTCGTATAAAATAATAGAAAATGATATCTGATTCTTTTTTTTAAATGTAACTTGGGATTTTTAGCATGCATCATTTTTTATGTCTTCAAGGAAATTATTCGATATAGTGACAGAAGCAGATAAGAAAGATCTTAGGTATAGGTTCATGCTATAGATAAGAAAAATCTTTGTTATCAGTTCATTCTACAGATGAGAAAGATCGTTGGTTTTCTACAGCGTACAGGTCTTAAAGTATATGTGTGGTCTCTGATGCTATGTTGTTGGATATACAAAAGTTGCTTAGATGAGGTGGCGTAACATTGTGTACTATTTTGTGAACTTGTATTATTTTACTGTTTTCGCGAATAAGAAAGTGTTTCCCACTACTAGTAAGTTTGCTGTCTCCTGTAGAGGTTCTATCATACGTGTTTGTAGGCTTGTCAATTTGTCACCGTCTCCATAAACTAATATCGTTCAAAGTAGAATACACGTGTTGTAACGTTTGACGCTCCGAGTTAATCCAGTCTTACAGAGAATTTTTAAACAAGCTATTCAGTATGACAAGCCACACAACGTCACTCGAGACAAAATGTATATGTTAAATTGATGCATAATACATTTCATGATAATGTCATGTTGGAGATTTATTACCATGCTTGAAAACACATCATTTATTTTATTAAGGATGAACGAAGAATGTATGTGAATGAAAATATTAATGCGGAAGGGAAGGAGGTAGAGGACGCTGAGGAGGAGATAGACGAGGAAGAGCAGGAGATAGAGGAGGAGGAGGAGGTGTGATTTACATTTCTATCTAGATTAGATACATTGTATGAATCAACCATAACTGTGAAACATATTTGTGAGAAAAGTAATTAGGAAAATACCTGAACGGCTATACCCATAGTGTTGTTATGTTTAATAATCTAGTGTGTACCAACATGGTTATACCCATAGTGTTGTTATGTTTTATAATCTAGTGTGTACCAACATGGTTATACCCATAGTGTTGTTATGTTTTATAATCCAGTGTGTACCAACATGGTTATACCCATAGTGTTATGTTTTATAATCCAGTGTGTACCAACATGGTTACACTCATGGTAACGTTATTGTTTATAATCTAGTGTGTACGAACATGGTTATACCCATGGTAACGTTACTTTTTTATAATCTAGTGTGTACCAACATGGTTATACCCATAGCAACGTTATTTTTTTTAGGAATCTAAAACCAAAATAGATATATCCATAGTAACCTAATTGTCCCTTAATTTTAAATTAAATATGCATTCCCATTGTAACAAGATGCCTTTATAGTTTAAAGAATATTTTCACTTCTTTACCACAGTAAAGTAAACGTTCCCTTATTTGAGGTGTACTTCAATAGTTACACTCCCTTATATTTGTAGGACTACCTGTTCGAGAGTTCAGATGGCAATGCAGCTCGAGCGTAAGTACAATGGTAGCATTTGGTTTTGTACTTCACTATAATAAAAGAAGTTAAAATCGCATGTTTCCTTCTTTCAATGGCATTCTAAAGACGCACTATTTCATAATTAGCAAACTATCAATGACACGATCCTAAAAATTGTGGACAATGTAAGATTCTTCTGTTGGCAATTACGTAAAAAGTTTTTTCTGGTGTTCAAATTTCACGGTTTATACCGGAAGCTTGAAACAATGTCATTTCCACAGAAATCATGAAAAGGACTATATTTTTTACTGTACAAGTAAAATAAACATCAAGAATATACCAACATGACAAGATAAACATAATCTTAACTCAAATTCCATATAACTAAGTCAAAATATGAAAGGTTTACACGGAGATCCCTGAAAAAGTACAAGGAGAATAAAACATAGTGTTTCGCGAGTGTGAGCGTCCTCTGCTTCATAGATGACACCCGCAATGTAAACCTTGGTCAATCCAAGTAAGTAATGTCACATCTCAATTGAGAGCAAGGTGTACAACAACGGAACCAATAAGCAAACTAACGACCATCAAACACATCCAGCTTCATAGTGAATTTTTCGTTATTTTATTGCGAAAAACTGCGCGTCAAAAATTGTACAAAATACACACAAGTGAATAGTACCATTTAATACTTTTAGAGTTAGATGAAGTAGAGTAAAACAATGAACCAAACAGCATCATACAGCTGCTCTATCCTTATAGAAATCGTCAGTGATGCTAACGACCTAATTGTTATACTTAGAAGGCGACTGAGGAACATCCTAAGTGATCTAAAGAAATGTGAAAATCTCGATAAGGACTTGCACAAGCCTCATACTTCGGTAAATTTTGTAAATTAAATATATCTGATAACTTTAGAACATGTCAAGTGCATGTAAATATTGTGAACTGTGCCACTCTTTGAATGAGTTGGAAACATGGCATGCAGGTTATGACAAAGCTCGGGGACTTGAAGTCTGCCAGCAGTGTCTACCACCTGCAATCTCGAAAATTGTACAAAAGACACACAAGCGAATAGCACCAATATCAAGCCATTGGGAATCTTAATAGTACATGACATTTAACTTTACAGACTTTTAAAAGACAAAGTGATACAGACGTTCCTGGTCCGTGACTCAAGGGAACAAGGCCGGAAGGTAAGTCATGTGACCTGTCTAACTCGTAAAACTTAAACCATGTTGTGTTAAAAAAAAGTCAAGTTGAATTCAAAACGAAAGTTTTTTTCAAATAGAGATGACATTTATATTCACAGTTCCTTTGTTTGAATTTTATCCAGATTTTGGTGGTCAAAAGAAAGAGTGAATATAAGCAACATATCATCAGTATTCATGTAAGTATATTATATATATATATTATATATATATATATATATGTATATATAGAAAAACAAAATATTAACATGGCAAGTAAAATCGTATGAAATCGCTAACGTTTTTGATTTTCTATATATACGATACACAAAGCTTTCAGTTTTTTTAATTACATGTATATGTATATAACATCGAGTTAAATAACTTTTTTGTCATCTTAATATTATGCAAAAATTACACCTCAGCTTGGTATTATGGGGTTTCTGTGTGTTAAGATGGAAATTATCCAAGATAAGTAAAACTCCGATAAGTCGAATTCCGCTGGACCATATCAATAGTTCGAGGAATACGGGGTGTTCGAGTAATCGGGGTTGGTTATAGATCGTCGGGTACCCCATATCCGTATCTATGAATGACATTCAATACACAATTCTTTGATCAAAAGGATTTATTACTATTACTAAGTTAGGGTTGACTTATAACTTCAATTTGTCTTAACAAAATTAATTGAGATAAATGTATAAAAATGGTAACACGGCACCAGCGTATGTTCTTCAGAAAGCATGTCATTTAAAATGATGGTTTCTTAAGCATGGAATATGTAGAAAATATATGTGTGTATCAAAGTCATTGTCATCTTCATTCAGTTATTATCAATAGTCATGTTTTTTTGTTTTTTGATTTTTTTCATCAGGGTGACATTTTCTCCATAGAGGCGGCAGCACAATTCAAAAGTCTTCACGAACTCATTGAATATTACAAACAAAATGAATTATGCGGTTCTTGCATTGGGAAAGGCTATAAATTCTATGAACAATAGTCCTTAGGGGAAATGGAGCACAGTTACTACGTCAACGACGGCTGTTTGGATTCTGAGAGAGTGAAGTGATATTTACTCGAAGACGACAACGATTTCGATCACAAAGGGGGGTGACATTGGACGTTTACCTGACTCACATTTATAATCCATAGGTACTCCAAATGTGTCCTTAATTCTGTGCTCAACATTTATTTAAAAAATGGGCGCGTCTATCCCCATGTAAACTTCTGTGTGTAAACGTCATTTCTCGAAGTCGACTTAACCCGGTTGCCGTTCATGAAATGCATAATCGTTTGTATTATAACATTTCCCTTTCTTGTGATAATTGACAGGGAGAATGCTGATTATTTTATACAATATTTTGTTATTGATATTTTACAGTAGTAAGTATATATGATGTTTTAATATTATAAATCCTATTTACATACATGCACATTCCTATTACCTATGTTTCGTACTAAAGGTGAATCCAAATGAGGGATTACTGTTGTATTTGTATCGTTATAAAACTATGAATGTAATATTGGTATATTGATACTTTAAATTGTTTAAACATTGTAAATATTTGATAAGATCTATAATTTTAGAAGTCAAGTTAAAGCGCTTTGTGGGGGGGGGGGGTAAATTTTCATATAGAGAAGTCTTTCTGGTATTTTGTCCAGTACAAATTAGAGAGGTTTATATTTTATCTATTTACACTTCCGGAGTGTAAATGTACATTTGGCCTCATCAATAAAATTGATGTTTACACTTCGGTAAACTTCGGTCTGGCTCGTAGGAAGCCGGACTGCTGTACACTTGCGACAGCAGAAATTAGTGTGAATTCGCAGTTGCATTTGTTATAGTTTTTGCACTTTTTAAACAAAATATTATGTACGAACAAAATGGGTACAAAGGTCGTTTTGGTCTATGTATTGTATTTTATAGAACGTTTTCTAAGTAGAATACAAACGTCGCTATGGTATACGTATTGTATTTTATAGAACATCCTCTGCGTATAATACAAACGTCGCTATGATCTATGTATTTATTTCATGTAATGCAGCAAAATTGTGTAATTTATACACTGTATAACTATTTCATAAAGCACAAGATGCTTGCAAAATAAGCAAAGAAAACATTTAATCGTGTTATGTCGACGTAGGCAATAAAATAGGGTGTCCTATTATACAAATATCTGTATCCGACATCGATATTTTTGCTACATATTTCTTTAATCATGTATGTATCAAACTGAATAATTTATATATAAAAACATCAAACGCAAGTCTGTAACATGGATTTCCAGGCAGGAAATAAAACATTGATAATACTTGTTGTGATTTATACTTTATGTTTCGGTTTCTGGGGTCGTTTTAGTAGTTGTTGCGAAGAGTCTATATTTCAGTTTTAAAGTGGATCCGTTGGTACACGAAGAGGCAAGCAAGCGGCTTTGTCTCTCTCAAATATCAAGCAAAACCGGTTAACGTTTTGGTGAGAAATCAGCTGATTGTTCAAGAAATATAATTACAGAAATAGAGGATACATAAAACAACATAAGTTCTCGTGAGAAAAACGGGAAACAGCGAAAGTATTCAGACACAAAACAAAGGCATAAATGGATATTCTTCTGGAATAGGCTACCGGCCAACATATTATTTCTGACGTAAAGTCAGGGATGGACTAATTAAAGGACAAGAAGTCCAAGGGGGCAGCACATTATTTCTGACACAAAATCAGGGAATGACTAATTACAGGACAAGAGGTCTAAGGGGGAGGGGGGCAGCACATCATTTCTGACACAAAATCAGGGATGGAATAATGACATGACAAGAAGTCCAGGGGGCAGCACATTATTCTGACACAAAGTCAGGGATGGGTTAATTACAAGACAAGAAGTCCAGGGGGAGAGGTCAGCACATTATTTCTGACACAAAGTCAGGGATGGGCTAATTACAAGACAAGAAGTCCAGGGGGAGGGGGCAGCACATTATTTCTGACACAAAATCAGGGATGGAATAATAACATGACAAGAAGTCCAGGGGGCAGCACATTATTCTGACACAAAGTCAGGGATGGGCTAATTACAAGACAAGAAGTCCAGGGGGAGAGGTCAGCACATTATTTCTGACACAAAATCAGGGATGGACTAATTACAGGACAAGAAGTCCAGGGGGAGGGGGCAGCACATTATTTCTGACACAAAATCAGGGATGGAATAATAACATGACAAGAAGTCCAGGGGGCAGCACATTATTCTGACACAAAGTCAGGGATGGGCTAATTACAAGACAAGAAGTCCAGGGGGCAACACATTATTTCTGACACAAAATCAGGGATGGACTAATTACAGGACAAGAAGTCCAGGGGGCAGCACATTATTTCTGACACAAAATCAGGGATGGAGTAATTACAGGACAAGTCCAGGGGGCAGCACATTATTTCTGATACAAAATCGGGGATTGTGTTATAACACATAATTCATTCCCTATGGCTATTCGTCTTGGCATTCCCATCATCTTTTTATTTACTTCAAACACTCCATCCATTAATAATGATCGTTAAACAATCTACTCCTTGCCATTTTGATATAATTTAAACTCCTTTTATACCAACAAAAAACTAGTTCGTCAGATCTCTATTGAAAATCCGTGCAACAAATCCAGTTGTGCAATATGTCGCCAACACACATATCGTAAGGTACGCTTTAATTTCGTCCTTAGAAAAAAAATGTCAATGAAAAATGTGGAAAATTATGTAAGGCGATCTTTTCACAAACATTTCAGGGCTATAAGAGATTTTAGGGTAGATACGTGTCGCTGTGTCAACAGTTCACCGACTTTTTAAAAACCACACTCTTAAAAGGTATAGTCACATATTTATCCAGGCCACCCTATAAAATCGAACCCCGGTCGGCGAGGTGAAAGGCGAGTGCGTTACCACTGCGCCACCCGGCCACCCTATAAATTCGGGTGGCGCAGTGGTAACGCACTCGCCTTTCACCTCGCCGACCGGGGTTCGATTCCCGGAACGGACGTGAAAAGGTAAGGGGTCACCTGCCCGATCACGTGGGTTTTCCCCGGGTACTCCGGTTTCCTCCCACAATAAGACCCCTCGCGCGCTTACATCCGGGCCAACAAGAGTGATTAGTATAAGTTGACATAACTTGTTTCGCAATTGTTGTAAAATAAATAAAGTTTACTACTATATTTATAGAATGTTAATATGACTGTGTTCTGCATCACATGTAGACTGTAGACAAACGTTTGATACAGAGTTTGATATATCTTTCAAAATAAACATATTTCAAATAACACAGTTTCTACGTATAGTTCGATTTAAGTGAAATCGCTCACGCAGAGAGAAAACTGGAAAAGTGCCAAAATCCGAGCTGATGACACCCTTTGCTTAGAAAGGTGATGTTTTGAAATGGTGTTGTCTAAAATCGTTCTGTTAAGTCGACAATCATTGCGAGCAGGTGTCCATATCACGTAATAGGCAATTTGCCACTGTGATCATGATGATCATATCTAACTGTCTGTTCACTACAACTTCCAAACATTCTTTTTTCGGGATGCGTGGTGGTGTAATAGTAAGGCAGTTGTAGGATTTCACGGCTAGGCGATTTGGTGCCGTACTAATCGATCGTAAATTCGAGGCCTGGAGAGGCAACGATTCAAAGATCTTCCTTCGTCAGTAGTGTTACAATATTCAGTAAAATTTGAAGACTAAGTAGATTTATATAAACGTGTTCTTCAAGTTGTATAACAGATATACATGAGCACTGTGGATTGTAGAAATTAAATCACAACAAGAGAAAGATGGATGATATGCAAGTGAGACCACAACAGCTCAGTTGTGGAATTTTAAATCTTAAAACAATTATTCATTTATTCTAATTGGTAACACTGTTCACAATGGGAATGAGGACATAGAAGATCTACACGTAGATCTCCAGCTTTTGCATATAACACTACCAAACAACTTATGTAGCAATGAGAATCCAGATATGTGCACAAGTTTGTTGGAGTTGTCTCCCTTGTAAGACGCTTAAGATGAATCCGTCACAATGCTACGTCAATAAACGTCTAGTAGGTTCATATAAGAAGGATACTAAAATAGTTTAGTCGTGTATTTTGTTGGATTTTTACTTGAAGCAAGACCAAGTAAATTTATTTTCGACTTGGGGCAATATAACATAACACTCGGATCTATCTGTTACTGTGGGGTTTGATTTTACAAACTAGTATACTTTATTTCCCCCCCCAAAAAAAATTTCAAATCCAGAAATCGAGCCCCTGTGCATTAAACAATAAATATATGTAACACCATTCAATTTAAACTTTACAATGTAGGCTGTCATGTTAGCTTATGCCGTGCTGCGGCGTCCAACTATTTATGTTAAATATTTCTTGTCCAAAATGTTAAATCGTCCAACTATTTATTTTAAATATTTCTTGTCCAAAATGTTAAATAGTCATCATAGTTGACTTATAGCTACCCTTGATGAAGCCTGACAAAGTTTGGAGTAGAAAAACTTGATCCACATGCACAATTAGAGGTAAAGATTGTTAGATCGCTCAAATGAATTTTTACATGAACCAAAAGGGATCAGAATCATGATATTTGCCTTATAGGCTACAAATATGATGTTTGTGAAATGGAAAGACATTGTCCCATGTTTAAGGTCGTGAGGTTAAAATTTGTCAAAACGTTAAAATGTCTTTTTTTTCTTGATAATAGAAATATCTGGAGTCGTGGTATTCAGCTTATAGGACCTTGGGGGAAAACCACGGGAAGTTTGCAAAAAGGAATGACCTTGACACATATTCAAGATCACGCTGTCAAATTTGTTGAAACTCAATGAGTTGTTCTCATTAAGCGAAAGGTGTACAATCATATATTTTGTCTTAATGTCCATGGGACGAATCGAGCCAAAAGTTTACCAAAAGACTAACATTCAGAGTCATGGGGGTCAAAGTGCTAACCGAAAGGCTTAGAATCATCATATTTATCTGATAAGTTCCTGTAATTTATCTACACTAAGTTCTAAAACACTCAAATGACTGATAATACCAAACCAAAAGACTTAGGGTCATATTTGGCTTATTGGTTCCTGGAATAAAAAGGCCCGACATGTACAGTATACAATGACCTTGGCCCGTATTTAAGCTCTCATTATACACTCAAATGGCAACAGCTCCCCAAAATTTCCCTTTGCTTTTCAAAAGTCGTTTGTTTGAAGTGTAAGCATGCTAGTTTGATGTGCATGAGTTCGTGATAGCATGGTTACCCTATGGGCCGTGCAGGCCCATTCAAAGACTTATTTCGGAATAAATTGTGTTAAGGTTGAATGTCCAGTTCTTATGTTTCAAGGGATCAAAGAAAATACTTTTTATCATATCATAGCTTCATAGCATAAACTTTTTACGGAATGGGATGCAAACAATATACAGTGGTTGTTTTTTTTATAAATCATTTTCAGATGTTTCCATTAACGCCATGGAGTTTCAAACTTTTGCAATAAAAAATACACCAAATGCTTCGGTATCTTTTTTGTTTGTTTTGGGTTTTTTTTTTTCAAAAAAATCAGGACAACAGCTTCGGTTAGGCGTTTTACCAATTATACAAAAGGTTAACATCTTTTAAAACCGCACAATAAGAAATCAGCTGACACCTTAATAAAGCAATGCGTGTCCCTTTTAAAGCGCTCTATTGATATAGATCACTAGAAGTTGTCTAATTTTTTTACGTCTGTCATATATATCCGGAAAGACTTTCATCAATGGTGTTGCGACGACGCGTTGTTGACTAAATCTAATGTAGCGCATATATGCTTTATGAGAAATTTTAGATATATTATTTATAAGTTATATAAATGATAATGCTTTTTATTTTCCATTTTTATTTCATATTAATCCGGATTTCTTTTCAGTCATCCAATTTATTTTTACTTGTGTATTGTTTACGAAAATGGCAGCCGCGCACGTGTTACAACTGTAGCTGTCACACTGATAGGAGATACGAGAAAACTTCATCATCATTTGATAATGTAACATTCTGTTGTTTTTAAGCGTGATAGGATATTGGTAAGTATTTTTACATGAGACTTTCCGGAAGCGACTCTATAGAACTTAGGACAGTGGATCCCTGTGTCCTTTCATTTTTCATCGTCACAAAGATGAAGTGATATATCCGTAAAGATATCATGAAGTGTTACCACCTCCATAATACAAAATAATTTAGGAAAAGATTATTTTGGTGATCGTGATCATATTCGTACTTTCAATTTCATACCAGTGTATCGGAATATTGATACTATTTACACTACAATGATGCAATATATGGGCAAGAATTAGCTAATATAACCCTAAGTCTAACATTGCAAGAAAAAAATTAAAATATTCATAAGCCTACAAACTTTGTTTGAAGTATTACTGTAAATGGTGTCTTTCTATGCATAACAAAAAATAAATCATTTTGAAACTTAATTCAGTTAAGAACAACGAGAATTAATGAATTTAGAGCATTTAACATAGACACTATTCCCAAACTGAGATTGATGGTTATTTGACCTGTTTGAAGTTTAGTATTAGGTTTGTTTATCTCAAAACATTGTCCATCATTTTGACTTAGAAAATCGCATTTTTCAAATATATCATGTATTTCAGAAATTCTATGAAAACAGGTTTTCTCTTATTGTTCTGTCAGTGTTACATGCAATTATTAAGAGATAAATATAATCAGAATTATGTTCTTGGTAAACAAGAAAAGTCATTTTTTCATTGTGTTACTGTCGTATAAAGAAAATTCTATCAATATTTTTGCAACCTTCTCATTTCAGTAATAAAGTAGTTACACATATGTTGCATGTAACATGGACACAAAAAATATAAATCATAAAGCATGCCAGAAACTCTATTAAAACATATAAAAAGCCCCCAATACACTATTTGTATGTAAATTATAAGTATACTCCCACATATCTCAAATATAATATCGTTTAAGTAGTGGCACGCAACTATTTATTTTCGGGTCAAGGATACGTATGGAAATAGTTCCCATCAAAAAATCGCTGTCATGACGTCAAACCTGTTTCAAATACCATATTTACTGTTTTTTTGTTGAAAAGTACAAAGAAAAAATCACACAACATTATTAAAGATCATATTTTACTCCAAATGTGTGCATAACACTTCGTTACATGATCAAAATTACCAGATTTTGTGGTCTCCTTGAGTTCCTATACACCGATAGACACCATTTTGGAAAACAGCATAGTCACTCGTTAACGTTACTGGGAGCGGGTCGAAATATCGCAAAAAACATTATCGTTACATGATCCGTTACAGAAATACAACTGTTCTAAAGAGAGGGGGTATTTCAATGTAGTTTGGACACGAAAATTAATTATATTTTATTACCGGATATATTTTCCGAACTCCAGTTGATTGATGAAAATTACGACAATCATATCATACCTTGTGTTGACACATCATAAATTTGCAAATGCCGTGTTGATGATGGGTTTCCAAACAAATTTACTGGGGGAAACGTGCATGTAACGTTTGTTGACAGGAAAAGTTACATACATTGGTCTATTTTCAATCCTATTTTTTTGCAACATTAATCAAATCCTGTTCAAAACAAGCAATTTTATCGATAGACCAATCATTTTGCAGTTGATTAACAATTTTTATAGCACCACAATTCTTCAGGCATTTAATAAATATGACACAGGATTTTCACTACTGCAGAAATGTCACACTTTTTGCCTATTATTTATCCACTGGCAGCGTACAACTTGTGCTGCTTCTTTGTTACTTAATCAATTAGATCAATTTGTTTTTTCATATGACGATAAAAATAAACCAACTTTAATATTTAAACAATGTTTATTCTCCATACTTGCATGATTTTGTTTGTTTTTTATGACTAAAAATTCATTAGCCAATTCTTGCCCATTTTTATTTATGACATGGAGTAAATAAAGACGGTAAAATTAGTAGCATTTGATTGGTTCATAATAGCACAGATTTAAAAGTCATTGATAATAGACTGAAGAGAGATTTGTATCAAAATAGACAATTAGATATCTTGTCTGTCCAAAATCCCTTTTACATCGATATACGCTGAATAGATAGGAGACTGCCTATATTTCTTTTACACCAAATGACTTTGGTCTCACTAGCCTTGCTGTGTTCAGCATTTCTCCAAAAGCACTTCCATAGTATTTTCAAAATGAAAGCTGAATAATTTTTAGATTTTAACATGTAAAGTTATCAAAATAACTCTAACAACCACAGTACACGAATAAAATCTAATGACAACACAAATCTAACAGCCATATAACATGACACAATATAACTAATGATCACATAACAATACACATCTGTCTTTCATGTCAATCTCAGACAGTAAAGCATCAAAGGTAAGCCTATCTTGCTCATCCTTTTTTACATTTGCGCAAGCATTCTTTATTCTTACTAAAATAACTGAAATGGAGTCATGGGTCTCTATGCCTGTACCAGAGATGTAGATAAAAGATATCTACGTCCCTGTCTTTACCTACAGTTCTAGTAGTATATTTGGTGCTTTCTGCCTTGTTTTTATTTAGTGCTTTCTGACTTGTTTTTAATGTCTTTTTTTAAATATTAAATTTCAATATGAAATTGAAAGCTATTGAAGACATATTTCTTATCAGTTACATGTATACTGAAACCATATTTTCATCAGTGTTTAAGGCTGTACTGCTTATCTCTTCTTTGTAGTACCAAAAACTGACCACATGCAAGCAATGCAAACTGATCATATTTATGAGAAGGGAAGTAACTCTGTAAAGTCTGTAATTAGTTCAGTTCACATTTCTTTCCAGTTTAGAGCTTTATTACTTATCCTCTCTGTGTATTCCATAGTCCATAGTAATTAATTAATAACTTTTCTTAGAAGCATTATACAAACTGTCCTACAGATGAATGTGACATAAGTATAAGTTTCAAACTTTGATCTATAAATAAGTAATAATAGACAGGAATTACAAAAACTAAATATGTACCAATTATCTTTAACACTTTACAAGTATACTTCCTCCTTTGGCTTTTCGTAATCTAAGTTCATCCGCTTCATTATCACCATAAAGGTCTATGTCAAGTTTTCTGTTTCTTTAATGTGTAGTGGTGTATATTTTACTCTGAAATAAAATTGATTTGAATGAAACAATAAGTTACAAGTAACCATGTTGATAAAGGTGTACCATTAGAAATTGATAGAAATATTCACAATTTCCTTTGTTTTTGTAATACCGATAATTTGTGAAAAACACAGTTATATGAATGTTGCATAAAGAGGCATAGTTGTTTTTATCATATATCACCTAATGCAAGTTTTAACAGTTCCAATATCAAGAGTAGTAGATGAGTAATAGATTTTACAGTATGTGCTTTGAAAGGATAGCTGCATACTAGACCAGGAAACTGTAGTACAAAAAATAGACTTATGTGATGTGGAAGGCAGCTGCTCTAGAGGGCGAATCATGATACAGTCAGCTGAGATATAATCCATTAGGGGAAATGAAAATGACTATACCCCGCGATTAACCAACTTTTTAAAAATAACATAGTCAGAGGAATGTTGTTTGAAGGATTACAGTCTACTTCAGTCTAATTTTAACAAAATCATCTATAGCATGGATGTATAGTATCAGTATTATACCTCTCTATATATAGTATCTAGTGTAGCATTTCAGATAACGGATCAAACTTGTGGGAAATATATTAAATATGGAAGTCACTATAATTGATTTGCCTTTGTCTGCTTAAAACAACATCTATCTTTGTCTCATAAAAAGTGAGCCAATCGGGAACCTCCAATCTCAGCCATCTAAGCTAAGTTGATTGCACTATGCCATCAGACAGCATCAAGTGTTACAAATGTTTGCCCCTTACAGGCCTCATTTCTATTGCGATTCATTTTAAGTAAAGTGCTGTTATCACATTTGTTAAATCCTAGTATTGTGTCAGATTATCACATGTTTATCATTGTAGGTAATTTTACACATATGTAATAACAGTAGACAAAAACCACATGTACCAGTCTGTTGTTAGCAGTGAAGATTTAAATCCCCCTGATCAGTTTAACAGACCAGTGCTACCCCTAACATTGATTCTCTATCAGGAATGGACATCCCAAGATTGACCAACTTCTGCTAACCAAAAATAAATCTTTTCGTGAAAAATCAGAATTTGTAGAATTAGAAAGTATAATTATTATGAAGCCACCACCCAAAGGTTGTTTTAGTTGTTATTTACTGGTGTAACAATCTGCCTGAATAACTTACAGTGTATATAACAATGTTTAATGTTTTGTATATGGAACACATTTAATGTAAAGCTAACTAAACTGAAATAAAAACAGTCACATTAGATTCCACTACCCTAGAGCTTATTGATTTGTATAGGTTTTTATCTGTGTTCCTGTCTAAATTAAATCCCAAGTTATGTCATCATATTTGTACACCACCATCATCATTAGTGGGAGGAATTAATCTGTAGCAAAGTTCAACTATTTCTTTTGTTCATAAAGCAACAGAAATATGTTTAAAGGATTGAGATTGATTTTAAAACAAACTGTCAAGAAGCGATTGATTTGATCCTATGATAAATTTTGAAATATGTTATTGAAATGGACTATTAAATTGTAAAAGTTGTGAGTACAGGTCATCTTACTAGCCTCAGCTGGTGGAAATTTCCCTTTAGTCAAGCGGTAGATTGTCCAGCTAGAGACCATAGAGTCGCTAGTTCGAATCCATGTGGTGAAAGGGTGTTTTTCATTACCCCTTCCTACATGTATCACAGATTTGGTGTCGTTAACCTCTCCAAGAGGAGAAAATGTGGGAGATTGAACTGCTTCCTTGGAGATATCAAACCTGAGTTATTGTTGTGTTCAGGGTCGAATACTTTGTGAAGGAGTGAGTAGTGTAGAATTTGATAGAACAGGTTGCCTTACTTCCCTTTAATTTCCCTTCAGTCAAGCAGTAGAGTGTCCTGCTAGAGACCAAACGGTCACTAATTCCAACCTCAGCTGTGGCAAGGTGTTTTTTACTACTTCTTCCTATTACAAAATTATCGAGGCTGAATGTCAGTTGTCTGTGACCAAGTAATAGATTTAGGTGTATATATGCTTATTTTTTTGAGATTGTCTAAGTTTTAGCTAGTTCTTAGAGTTGAAACTTTGTGCATGTCTAACATTGGTATCCTTGTAAAGGTTTGCTTATTGTTTGATTTCACACTATTTTTGTAATAAATAACTGTGAATATAGCAAAATCAAATCCTACTTGAATAGTACATACTCTGTAGTAAGTGTAGCTGTTTTATAGACGTCCATGTTGTTGAGGTGATCTCCAGTTCTCTCAGTGACTTTTCAGTAAAACAGATAAAACGCTGTTCATTGTTTATTTACTGTATTTGTTATTTTTGAGGCTGTGTATTTCACTAAAACAATATAACCAGGTCATGTAGTGTCAGTAGAGGCTTCATTGGTTGCTTTCATCACCTGCGTCAAATATACATTCTTTTGCTGCAAGATGTCAGCAAAGCTGCAAACACCCAAAAACCATCCTTTATAGAAGATCATAGTTGAAAACTATTAGTTAAATACTCTTAAAGTTTGTGTTAAGATGGAGTCTCCTTTTCCACATATGTTTGTATTAGTTGTGGGCTCTGTATGGTTTATAGTGACTCGCTGGCTTGTGTCTACAATCCCATTAATCCTACCATCAAAAGTATTTATTTACATTGGAATTTAATTATATCAATTGATATCTTAGGTAGATTATCACATTTGTATAGGAGATTAATGTTTTTACTGTTTGATGATAAATTGACTTTCAAGTTTGCTTTGATGAAAACTCTGTATAACAAATTTACTTCACTATCGTTTTACAGCTGGCAAGCCATTGATGTTACCCTAAGGAAAGTTCCACCATTTTATTACGCATTGTGTTTTCATACATCGGAATGCCTACTATTAATTCTTCAAAATTTAGTCTTCATATTTCATTTCAAATTTGTATGAACCCCTTTGAGAGTTGGCGTCAAAACTGAGTGTTTTCTTTCATTTTGTAGAACACTTGTGCCCTACATTTTACTTGAACAAGTCATAGATATTATTTTGTGTAATCTATAGAAAATCTGAAAATATAAACAATTGTGCTGTATTTTACATGTTATACATTTAAGTGTAAAAAGGAAAGAGTTCCAGCTACCTGAATAACCCTTTGCTAGTGAGAATATCCCTTTCCTCAAGTAGTAGAGTGTCTGGCTAGAGTTTAGAGGTTCCTTGGTTTGAACCCCGCTATGCATTTTTCAACCCTTATTACATATGTTCATCGAACAGATCCTTAATCCTAACTTGGATGGAATATACTTTTGAAATAAAAAGGATAATATAAGAATGGTGAGGGCTTGATTAGTTTCTCAAATTTGTATTGGTTTCCAGGCATTTAAAAGAGCAAAGGTTTTTATTATGACCCTTTTGCAAAATTGCCACATTTGTAATGAGACAGGTTATTATAGAGCTTAGGCTGGGTTGAGTCTGCAGTGATTTTTGCAGGATATTTTCAGGCAAGTCCGGAACACCAATTCCAAACTTTTGATGAGTCCCAATACTAAGATATTCAGTGGGTTTTTCAAAATTTGATTGAGTCCCACATGAAAAGCACGAGTCCAAGACTCAAATATCTGAGTCCCAAAAATCACTGCAGTCTGGAAAACCCTCATAGTAGCACATATACAGGCCATCACTGATCAATACACAACGGGAAATCTCTAAACCTGATTCTTATATATAATGTGATAACAAAAGTGTGACCTTTTCCAGTTTAAATGATATCTATCTTGTTTTCAGTACAATAGAGGCCTGCCCAGTTACTGTGTTCGTCATTCTGCTCCAATGAGTAGATGTATAGATAGGACATTTAAATCTATATTGCTCCTCAAACCCTTCAAGACAGCTATATATCTATATCTAAATTTCAGTATAAACTGATTCTGTCAACCTTGGAAATATTTAAAGTACTGGAGAATGTTTTAAAAGTCTTTGGAATGACAAATGTTTTGTGTCAAGTTGTATGTTTAGTTTTCTGTTTGTATTTCTGGATACCAATAGGAGTTCTATAAGATTCTGTTTGTTCTTTAGTTAAATATGTCTACTGTTGACCGTTTGATACTTGTACACGGTGCTCTGTCGAGTGCCGAACAATAGTTCAATCATGCGAGAACAGTTCTGTATTATGTAGAATTATGTCAGTATATAGTTGTTTTATGTATAATTGACTGTGTGTAGTATATACCTGGCTGTTATCTGTCTTTATTAGATGAGCGTGCAAAAAGCAGACAGTCGAGGGGGACGATTGAGATAGCTGAGACAGCGGAATACTTCTGAAGTCATTACACAGGACAAGACAAAATCTTCGACCAGGAGAGCAACCTTATACATTCATCTAAATTGGAACAAACAAATCAAATATGTCATAAATCTTGTGGTGTTGAGTGGTATGGTAGAGATTGTACCTGCTCGTTTTCCAGATAGAGATGTAAGTGACAGTGAGTACCTATTACTACATGTGGACGTTCTGAACACGACAACTGGCCAATTTAAAGTCCAGTCTGTGGGAGCAAGGTCGTTATTGTTTAGGTTTAGGCATGTGTATTGAGACCTTTAAATTGACAGGTACAATTTATAGAAGGCATATATTGGGTATTTAAACCAGCAATACAGAGAAACCTGTTAGATTCTGTGATTTAGACAAGGAAAAAGTCAAGTCAGGACACCATACTACGCATCATTAGATCCTGTTTCTGTTTGACACGGTTGAATGGATTCCGTTGGATATTTCTGCTGACACTTTTTATGTTCTGTGATATACTTCAACAGATTTGTGATCAGTGATGGTACCAGTGTCCTGAACAATTCAACTCTACTGATCTTACAAACATATTTGAAGTCATGGCGAAGAGTAAATTTGAATATGTGAAACACTTTGAGGCAGAGGACCGATGCTTGCCAAACTGTTGGATTGTAGTTCGTATTGATGGCAAAGCATTCCACAGGTAAATATTGACATTAAATATATGAATTACTGTTCACTCAAACTCTTGTAAGTTATAAGGGCACTTGTAGAATCACTCACACTACTTTATCATTCCCAGGCAATTAAATAATTCAAAGGTTATTTACTGCTAATCAAAGTGCTTTTCTCCCAAATATATGAAGAGTATTGAGCCAACTCCATAGGTTTATCAAGCACTGGGTAAGCCAGTGTTTCCTCCAATACTGGGCTAGCCAGTGTTTCCTCCTGTACTGGGCTAGCCAGTGTTTCCTTCTGTACTGGGCAAGCCAGTGTTTCCTCCTGTACTGGTCTAGCCAGTGTTTCCTCCAGTACTGGGTTAACCAGTGTTTCATCCAATATTGGGCTAGCCAGTGTTATCTCCAGTACTGGACTAGTCAGTGTTTCCTCAAGTACTGGACTAGTCTGTGTTTCCTCCAGTACTTGGCTAGCCAGTGTTTCCTCAAGTACAGGGTTAGCCAGTGTTTCCTCCAGTACTGGACTAGTCAGTGTTTCCTCCAGTACTGGGCTAGCCAGTGTTTCCTCCAGTTCTGGACTAGCCAGTTTTTCCCACAGTGCTGGGTTAGCCAGTGTTTCCTCCAGTTCTGGACTAGCCAGTTTTTCCCACAGTGCTGGGCTAGCCAGTGTTTCCTCTAGTACTGGGCTAGCCAGTGTTTCCCCCAGCACTGGGCTAGCCAGAGATTCCTTCACTACTGTGGTAGCTAGAGGTTCCTCCAGAACTGGGCTTAATTCTAACAGCAATGTGTCATGCAATTTGGTCTCAATATATTCCAAAAGTGGTTTGAAAGATAAAACATTTAAAATTTTAACACTTACTATATTTGCCAGTAATGCCATGGTAGAGATAATGTTCTATTCCATATACTAAAAATGAAGGGAAATCCATGTGAACATTCACGGTAGATAATCCTTAGGCAAACGTAGCAGATATTCAATTCAACCCCGTTTTAAGTAAATGGAAGGTACAAGTGTCTTGAAGCTGAAAAATTAAGCCTTTCACTTATATGGCTTGTATCAAACAAATTGACAAGGTCTGACACATATCGTCTTTGCAGCCTTGAGTCAAATTCCTGACTAAATACACACAAGATCTGACACATGTTGTCTCTGAGGCCTGCAGTCAGACTCCTGACTATAGACACACAAGAACAGACTATAGACACAGAAGTCCAGACTATAGACACACTAGTCCTGACTCATGTTGTCTGTTTAGCCTTGAGTCAAATTCCTGACTATTAACACACAATGTCTTACTCATGTTGTCTCTGAGGCCTGAAGTCAAACTTCTGAATATAGACACACAAGTCCTGACTATAGACACACAAGGTCTGACCCATGTTGTCTCAAAGGACTTGAGTCAAACTCCTGACTATAGACACACAAGATATGACATATGTTGGCGCTGAGGCCTGCAGTCAAACTCCTGATTTTAGACACACAAGTCCTGACTAAAGACACACAAGGTCTGACCCATGTTGTCAGTTAAGCCTTGAGTAAAATTCCTGACTGTAGACACACCAGATCTGACATATGGTGTCTGTTAAGCCTTGAGTCACACTCTTAAATGTATATATAGACATACAAGATCTGACCCATGTTGTCTCTTCTAAGGACTTGAGTCACACTCTTGACTGTAAGTGTCATGTAGACACAAGGTGTGACTCATGTTCTCTCTTCTAAGGACTTGAGTCACACTCTTGACTGTAACTGTCATGTAGACACACAAGGTCTGACACATGCTGTCTCTGAGTCCTGGAGTCAAAGCTCTGACTATAGAGACATGTACATGTATTTAAGTGATATATAGACATCATGACTTGGCAGCCAGGTCTGTATTGATGTTGTCAACAGACTCCAAATAGGATACAATGTAAAGCTTACATCATTTTCATTTTCTAATTGACACTAGAGGAAACAATTGCTCCCTAGTTACTGAGGAATTTCCTTTGATCATTATTGCTGATTTTTCAGAAAATTTGCAACATATCTATATGTATCTACTGATGGAAATATGCCCCTTTCCAGCATTTTTGGATGTATGATGAAATGAATGCTGATCCAATGGAATATTGCACCAATTTATTCTCCTGGCAGACAGCCAAGCTAGGCACTGTCAGTGAAAGTTTGTGTGATGCAAATCAGTTTGACAATAAGATCTTATAGCTTTGTTATGTATATAGAATGTAAGGCAACTGGCATGAGATTTGATCAGTTTAGGTAACACATACAACCTATAAAGGTGTAGGGATCGTGATGAATAGAGAAAACTTGTAATACATGTATGTTTAAAGCCACATCACCATAAAAGGATTTCTTTTTTATCATTATGAACAATGACAGTTGGATTTTGCTGAAATATGCTCATTAAGAGGCTAATTGATAAAAAGGAAATCCTGATTTGTTGATCACCAGCCTGGATATGTTCATTTTTGTGTCATATACGCTAATGCATGTGCACAAAACACTGTCACGTGTAAACAAAAAAGATGGCTTCCCGCTTGAATCAGTTGATGATTAATGTAACTTATTTTGTAATTCTGAATTGACTTAAGAGTTTTCAAATAACTCCCATAACAAAATTCTGTGTTGAAAAACAGGATTTTACTGACTGTGTCACTAATGTCGCTGTCATTCCTACACGCCATCACATGTTCGTGTTTACAAAATGAACTGCCTTGTTTTCAAACTATCATGTGACATTATCATCACTAAATTAGAGAGGGGGGTTTCCCGAACTGAACAAATGGTCAAGATGAACATTGGAAATCGATGGTAAATGTCGGGACAGCATAGAAACATGACTGAAAATGTATAAAACACATATAATCAATAACAAACTTTATATTTTTACCGTGATGTCCTTTTAAATATAATCACGGGATTGTAAAGGTTCTTTAAAGTTTCTCTTATTAAGATTGTGTTGCTTTTGTTTATATTTCCATGAATTTTGATTTTATTTTTATTACACACCAAGAAAAAAGAATACATCATTGTTTTATCTATTATTCATCAACATAGTTGTATTCACAGTAATGCATTCAGCTATTGTTTAAGCACAACAAGGTGTGGACATCTGACAGCAAGATATAACATTAAAACTCTAAATAAGGACAATGATGAACAGCTACATGCCAAGTACCTATAAAACACTAAATAATACAATATCATGTAGGGTTTATGAATTTGACAGCTGGAGAGTTTTATCATGAAAATTGTGTAATGGACAAAGAGAAATACTCCCTGTATTTCTGTGGAAGAGCACGTCTAGCTCGCAGTAACACAGAAACCTTACACCAGCAACTTCAGATCGCCTGTTATTTACATAGTAAACAGTGTAGAAGCATATGCAGTTAGTATCAACAAGCTGCATCTTATTTAGATTTCAATTCTTTTCATCTAATTTTATGTCAATATGACATTTTTCTATTTGGACTCTACTTGGTGTTAAGATATTGTCACATAAGTTTATTTACTTGTTTGAGTGTAGGAACTTTGGCCCAGCTTTTCTTTTACTGTCATGAACTCCTTGTATATTATGGTACATACACAGTTATGTTTTTATTATTTGAAAGAGACTTGGACATTTACGTTTTGATTATCTGGCAGAGGCCACACTTTTTAGAGTCTTAAAACAAGTAATAGTCAGAAAGATTGAAAATAGGAACTTGCAATCACTAACTGTTAAGCTATGTATACACCTTCTGTTCTTGTAAATAAGACTAGGAAATCTCATTATGTATGGCACCCTGAAAGCCAAATATTTTTTGTCTTTTCCAATCTCTCTGACGCCTTTACATATTTGGTGCAATGTGACAACATATACAGTAGTAATTATCCAATTAACTTTATGGTACACTTTATGGGCCTATGTCTGTGTCTGTCGTCCTTCAATAGAAAATGTTTGTTATTGCTATTTCTTGAGAAGTACTGAATGGATCACTCTCAGATTTCATAGGTACATTCCTCTTGGTTGCTAGCAGTGCCCTTTTGATTTTGCAATTAATAAGAAAAAACAAAAGTGGCTGACAGGCAATTATCTTGGATTTGGTGGTGAAATATTGATATCGCAATTTCTTGAAGGAAATTTCAAATTTCATATAATTAGCAAAAACAGGGGAAAGAAAAGAAAAAGAAAGGAAAGATTTTTGAAAGAACAAATAAAGATCAAGCAAAGGCGAGTGCCCAGATCCTTCTAGGATCTACTGTTTATGAGTTATACGTATCTATCACTTTGTACTTTGAACATGTTTGACTGACATTTTCAAATCTTCTGAAATTCTCATACACATTTGCCTGGTTTGAAATTGATAGGGTTATTACCTGCTTGCTAATGTTACGACGTTGTAAACCGCTGTTATTTCCAATAGGAGTACATCTGTCATGTTTCTTATCTATTTACCTTAAATAAATTCTCAATGCCTTATACCCTACAAAATAAGTGACAGCTTACTGTTATTGTACTGACCATAAAGATATATATATTGTATAAAATTATACCTATACTTCACCATACCAATTTGGGCCTGGGCTCAACACAAGTTATATACGGTAAAACATGATGATACCTCAACATGTTGGCTGTGCTCAACATAAGTTACATATGGTAAACATGATATAGACATGGCCAATGCTTGCCTGCCCTCAACATAGGTTACATCCAGTAAACATAATATAGACATGGCCAATGCTTGCCTGCCCTCAACATAGGTTACATACGGTAAACTTGATAATTCATTGTACCACTGTGGGCCTAGGCTCATCACAAATTATTTTTTCGGTAAACCTGATAGTTCACTGTTCCAATTTGGGCCCGGGCTGAAAACAAGTTGTATATGGTAATATTCATTTCACAAATTGGACCAAATACCTCACCTGGTAATTTAAATCATGGAATGAAAAAAGAACATTTTCCAACATTTGCTTTCAATGAAATTAAATCACAGAATGTTATGGAAATGTTTTTAGTCTGTGATAAACTGGTATAATAGACTTGTAAGGTGTAAAATTTCCAATAAGTTGAATACAAGTTTAACTGCACTGAATGATGTTATGTTAAGTCACCTGTAATATTCTCTTTGTTAAATAAATTTGAGTTTTATCATGTAACACCAGTGCTACAGTTTTCTGTTACAACAGAACTTTACTAGTGTTAGACATAAGAGTGAGACTTAACAAGCATGACTTCACAGACTTAAAGGAGAAGGTCACAAGGTTTAAGTGGATAACATGTCTGTGCAAATTACATATGATTTTGGTTTTTAAATGAGATTAATCTTGTGTGTGTAATTAAGATTGTGGTAAGATCTATGGTATTATTTAAAGAGGAGCAAGCAGGGCATGAAGCCTGAGAGAATAAAGTGACTGTCACTCTACTCCTGGCTTTGTATGACCAATAGCTAACTGGGACCTGTGTGTGTGAAAGTGAGAACTCTGCATTGGCCTAATCTTGTTCACATAGAAATACTTTTCATACATATATGTAATGAGTATTTATCATTGTAGAAGCTGATTCTAACCCAAAAACTCAGCAGTCCAACCTTTTTAACTTCATATTGCAATAAATAGAAACCCACGGGAAAATGTTAAGTCTATTTGGAAAGACTGTTCCTTTTGTGAGTTGTAAAACCTGTCTGAAGAGGCCAGTTTTTCTGTCATTAGTAAAACCTCTGTGGAGAGACCAACCCTTTTGTCAGTAGGAAATCTGAAGAGAGAATACATCTTTGTTCAGTATAGTAAAACTTGGTAGGAAAGAGCTCCTGTATGTCAGTTCGTCAGAACTTGTCTAGAGAGACCACCATACCAGTCAGTAATTAAACCTCTGTGGAGGGGCCACCCTTGCTGTTAGTAATGAAACTTAAAAGAAAAGGGCACTTTAATGTCAGTATGCCAGAATGTATCTTAAGAGACCACCATTCCCATCAGTAGTTAAACCTCTGTGGAGGGGCCACCTTTGCTGTTAGTAGTAAAAGTGATATGAGAGTACTTTTAGGTCAATATACCAGAACTTATCTTGAAAGACCACCATTCCCATCAGTAGTTAAACCTCTGTGGAGGGGCCACCCTTGCTTTCAGTAATGAAACTAAAAAGAAAAGGGCACTTTCATTAATTACATTACAATTATTAGATATTCTGGAGAAATTCTTGGCAGAAAAGAGAATATTTCTGTCAACTAATCAGAACTTGTCTTATCAACCAGCACTTTCAGTAGTAAATGCTATGTGAAAAAAATGTCGTAAAATTTGTCAGCAGAACCACCACTGCCATCAGTGGTAAATCTTGTCCTGAGATCATAGCATGTACCACATATATATATATTACACTCTTCACAGGTTTACAGATGTTCACCACTACATGAAGCCTAACGATGAACGAGGTCTGGGCTTGATGACCAAAGCTGCTCACTGTGTCCTCGAAGAGTTCAAAGATGTTGTCATGGCTTATGGTCAAAGTGATGAATATAGTTTCGTCTTCAAGAAAAATACCAAAATGTTTAACAGAAGAGCAAGGTAAGTTACAATGATTCTATAGGAGAAGTATCAATGGTCAGACCTTTACTCAAGTAAATGTGAATGTTGATATTATGTGAGCAAGTTTTCTAACAACATCTACACAGATTGTAGTATATAGAGATAGTGGTTCTAACAACACTAGGTAGTAAGGTAACTTTCGTTGTGGTGATCTGGTGTGTTACAACTGTAGGTAATGAAATTCCGGTCAGATATCTTGTGAAGATTGAACTAAACACCTGGAAATCTGTGTACCTGTCTATTACAAACACATAGTGTTTACCTACAGAATAGATTTACATAATTGTAAATGAAAGATTGAATGTTGTATGTACTTTATAATCTCATTCTTGTCCTTGAGTTGTCACAGGTTTATCAACACCACAAAATTACATTATAGTCAGTAAATAGTATTCTTTCTAATGGCAATCATTTCACATATTTTTGGCACCACCTGATAAAGTTACATAGTTACGTAACTAGTTACCTGTGGTTACGTTACTAGTTATGTGTAGGTAGTTACATTTTAAATGTCAAAAAATAAATTTTTTTTTTTACTGATAGAGAATGACTGTCTGGTTGCTATTAGCTAGCAATACAGAAATTTTAAAAGGTTTTGGCCATTCTTTTGTGATCTGTGGATTATTGGTGATGTTCATCTGTCTTTCTGACCTACAAGGACAAAACAGCTGTATGATGCACTTTAAATCATCATTTGACCCTACTGTATCTGACTCTAAATATTATTAAAAGTGGCTTAATTAATTCACATGTGTGTCTTTTGTACAGTTGTTATATACTGAAGAATGTCATGAAAATTTTGAAATTATCTTGCAGTCTTTCTTTCTTTTGATTGCCACATGGATTTCCTATTTTAAAAATCAATACTAGAATTGAAATTATAAAACATTTTTGGTTGTTAAGTACATATTTCGAGGTACTATGTTTGTTTGTTGGGTTATTGCTCTGAGAACTGCCGTGATCATTTTGAGGCAGAGTCTCCTTGTAATAACTTGTGGCTAGTAACCTCACTGAACAACATACGGAAGGCACGTCACATGCCATTCAGAGCAGTTATGGTAAACCTTCTGGCCCAAGGATACAACCATGCAAGCACAGACTGGTCCATTTTTCAGCTTCTCGAGAAACACAAACTGCCATGGGTAGAGAGCATTGCACCACATACCTCAGATCTTAATCTGATGCTCATATGTCAACGCTCGGACCAACTAAGCTATCATGGCCCAAAGTGTATATGTATAAATATATTGTAACATTTATATATATGTGAATAGATTTTCATAAATGCATGTTTTTTACAAATCTTTTCACATCCTAGCTAGAATATTTTAAGAAAAGTTTGAATGGCAGTGTTATGTATTGTCATAGCAGTCACTAATACTATGTTAAATGAACAGAGAGATATAGTAGAGATTCTTGGTCCGATTGATAATACCTGTACCAGGGTTGCCGGGTTTTTCTGTGCAAGTTGTCATGTCGGAACCCTATCTGTGATATCACACGTTTAAAAAGTTAGATACCAATATTGGCCATCAAAGTGTGTATGACTAATATAATTACAAAATTTGAATCGCTACCGCTTGTCTGTGTGAAGGGTTTGAAATGGCCATTGGTGTTACATGGGACTGTATATCACATACCATACTTTGTGACACTTGCCTTTTGCTGGGAAAAATATGTAGTCCAGGGGATGGATGAGTGTAATGTACAGCATTCTGTGATGTTTCTGTATTAAAGGTGCCTGTGTTAAGTATTATGTAACAAGATCCTATTAGTCAAACATATTCACTGATTAGGATTCTTAGTTGTTTCTTTATTTCATAATTTTCATCTCATCCAGAGGTCTCCTCCCTCAGCTCTGTTTAATGTCTTTGAAACTTGCTAGGAACCAATACCATGAGATGAAATGGTGTTTTATTTCCTCGGAACAGTATTCTCATTCAACAACTTAGGTATATAAAGGTTATTGTTTAATTATTTTTCAGCGTGTTAGTTTTAAGCAGATCTCTTTGGAACTTGGTGTGCTTTATTATCAAAACTTGAAGCACTGTTTTCCTTGGTTTCATTATGATTAAGTTATTGCCCTTTTTATCCTGTCTGGTCATCCTTAGTTTTCACCCGTCTTTGACACTTGGCAGGCTTTAGTATGATAACATAAGTTATATATTTTCAGATGTATATAGGTTAAATATTTCTTGTTACACTTCCATACATATGTTCATTTCAATGATATTATGTATTTTGCTCTGGCTAAGGACAGACTTATGGAATATTATTCTGCACTGCGATATTCAAGTTGTTACATATTGAGCTGTTGGCCATTTTGTGTTTACTCTGTCTCAAATATTCAACCAGCATTAGCACACCTGTTAGACTACTGATATAAGAATGTGGTTTAATGAAAACGTAACCCCGACACTACATGTAAATATTGATTTGTGTGATAAGTTGGTAGGATATTATTTTGTACACACACACTGTCCATGATACTCGGGATTTCCGAAACAAATTAAGCCATACCAGTCTATATAATTTCAGGAATACATTTAAATGGCTTGTTATTAGTGTTATTGGTCCCTGTAAAAACAAATTCACTTGACCTTCTAAACAAGCCTATTTCAACATACACCCATTGATATCTAAAAGGACTGTGTATACATTTTCAATGTAATTGTTGGTATGTTTCACAAAGTTGTTTTAAATACAGTATTGGGCCAGTTTTCATTGTTTGTGAAGATTTGTAATTATGGTAAGTTGTTATATACAGAGTATGTATAAGTCAGTGCACCATGGCACTTGATATCAATTTTACTTATAAACCAGTTAGCAACATCTGACTTTATTTAAAGACTTCAGTAAAACCTGACTTTACTGACACCTAACATCATTTACAGACTTCAGTATTACAGTGAAACCTGACCTTACTGACACCTGACTTCATTTACAGACTTCAGTAATACAGTGAAACCTGACCTTACTGACACCTAACATCATTTACAGACTTCAGTAGTACAGTGAAACCTGACTTTACTGACACCTTACATCATTTCAGACTTCAGTAGTACAGTAAAACCTGACTTTACTGACACCTAACATCATTTACAGACTTCAGTAATACAGTGAAACCTGACTTTACTGACACCTAACATCATTTACAGACTTCAGTAGTACAGTGAAACCTGACTTTACTGACACCTAACATCATTTCAGACTTCAGTAGTACAGTGAAACCTGACTTTACTGACACCTAACATCATTTACAGACTTCAGTAATACAGTGAAACCTGACTTTACTGACACCTAACATCATTTACAGACTTCAGTAGTACAGTGAAACCTGACTTTACTGACACCTAACATCATTTCAGACTTCAGTAGTACAGTGAAACCTGACTTTACTGACACCTAACATCATTTACAGACTTCAGTAATACAGTGAAACCTGACCTTACTGACACCTAACATCATTTACAGACTTCAGTAGTACAGTGAAACCTGACTTTACTGACACCTAACATCATTTACAGACTTCAGTAATACAGTGAAACCTGACTTTACTGACACCTAACATCATTTACAGACTTCAGTAGTACAGTGAAACCTGACTTTACTGACACCTGACTCTTAAAATATCATCCATTATTTAATGTTATTTCATGATAATGTTAAAATTGAACTTTATATTAACTTCTTAGATCAGTATTTCCATGAATGGTGTCTGGCTTGAATGAAGTTCTTTGTTAATACCCATTTACAATATAGTTTCCTGTTTACCCTACCTCTGTGGTTGTAATTTAAAGTTGTCTCCCTTGATCAATGATTGGATTCCTAGAAATGTTTTCAACACCATATCTTACATTTTGAGACTCAAACAAACTATTGCAACACGTTCAAATAAAAAAAAAACCTATGTAGAGGGAAACAAACTTTGTACAGACAGTCAAATTTCAAGCAACACAGAATTTACTCCTACAGTCAGCCATTGCAAACAAAACCCTAATGATGGTATGTTGATCAAAACAAATCAGTTACAATCTTCATAGCAAGAATGTCATCACCTCATCCTGACATCACTGGTCATTGATCCGTGTTACACTTCTTCTGAAGGTCACCAACTGTTTTCTTTTACTGGATCAACCAATCACATTTAAGTTTGTCTCTTTGTTACGTTCATACCATAGTAAACTGGTGTCCAGTGTTTATACCGTAGTAAACTGGTGTCCAGTGTTTATACCATAGTAAACTGGTGTCCGGTGTTTATACCATAGTAAACTGGTGTCCAATGTTCATACCAATGTAAACTGGTGCGCAATGTTCGTACCATAGTAAACTGGTGTCCAGTGTTTATACCATAGTAAACTGGTGTCCAGTGTTCATACCATAGTAAACTGGTGTCCAGTGTTCATACAATAGTAAACTGGTGTCCAATGTTCATACCATAGAAAACTGGTGTCCAGTGTTTATACCATAGTAAACTGGTGCTTAATCATCATACCATAGTAAACTGGTGTCCAATGTTCATACCATAGTAAACTGGTGCGCAATGTTCGTACCATAGTAAACTGGTGTCCAGTGTTTATACCATAGTAAACTGGTGTCCAGTGTTCATACCATAGTAAACTAGTGTTCATACCATAGTTAACTGGTGCTCAATGTTCATACCATAGTAAACTGGTGTCCAGTGTTCATACCATAGTAAACTAGTGTTCATACCATAGTAAACTGGTGCTCAATGTTCATACCATAGTAAACTGGTGTCCAGTGTTCATACCATAGTAAACTGGTGTCCAGTGTTCATACCATAGTAAACTTGTGTCCAGTGTTCATACCATAGTAAACTTGTGTCCAGTGTTCATACCATTGTAAACTGGTGTCCAGTGTTTATACCATAGTAAACTGGTGTCTAATGTTCATACCGTAGTAAACTGGTGCTCAATGTTTATACCATATTAAACTGGTGCTCAATGTTTATACCATATTAAACTGGTGCTCAATGTTTATACCATAATAAACTTGTCCAACGTTTGATCAAGTCCAGTGCTGGATATAGATTTAACCATTAAATAAGGAGCTCATTCATATCTTTAACTGTACTCTATTGATATTTGACCACTGTTTTACTTCCACAGTAAAATAATGACCAATGTCGTGAGCCAGTTTTCCTCATCTTTCGTGTTTTACTGGGCCCGATTCTTTAACAAGCAGCCACTACAATACCCTCCAGTGTTTGATGGCAGGGTTGTGCTCTATCCCTCTGACAAGAATCTCAGGGACTACCTCAGCTGGCGTCAGGCTGACTGTAAGTATGTTCAAAGTCAAAGAAATCATTTCAAGGTCGTTTAGATATAGATATAAAAATACCAAGATTCCTTGTTAGTTTCATTCTCTTACCATTGTAGGTTTCATCGCTGTATCAACATTTTGATTCCAAGAATAAGATCAAGGTCAATGTTCAGTTCTATAGAAACTTATCAAAAACAGATCCAGAATAAGGAGTGGTGTATCCATGTCTTATAAATGTTCTATTTTATGGAAAGTGGTTGGATTTAATTGTGTTCTTTTCAAAGTCCTGCAAGAGTAGACCTTTAGTATTTTGAAACTGAGGGCTGATGATATTAATTGTATGTAATATAGTTGTGATATATTTAGAGTATTAAAGAATGATTTGAAAATGTTGCAGGTGTTGCTGATGAAGCAAAAGACGCTTGCTTTTCTGGAACACTTGGTCTTTCTCTCCTTGTACTTTTTCAGGAAATCTTTCTTTTGTTCATATTTTACCCTAGTTTTATCAAATTTGAGTTTGGATTATAATTATGTTGACATGTTAGTATTTTCTTGATATTTTGGTGACATACTTGTGTCATATTACACAGGTCACATCAACAACCTGTATAACACATGCTTCTGGAAGTTAGTTCAGGAGAAAGGTCTGTCACCAGCCCAGTCACAGGAGCGCCTCAAAGTATGTAGCTTACAAAGTGTGTTTAATATCTAGTTCTAGGTGTATATGCACCTCGACTTCAGTGGAAGGTGTTTGTCCTTTTTTTGTTTTCCTGTTTATTTAAATCTCTGAAGTGTATCTATCACCCAGATGTTCTAAAAAGCCATTACATCAGCTATATATATACATTAGCTTTTCTATCATAATATATGTTTTATATCAATATGTTCATCAAGAGTCCTGAGAATTAAACTTCGGGTTTTTAAATGGGTATTTAAACCACATAAAAGGGAGCCATACTCTGTAGTTAAAACACATTCAGTGCTATTTGTGATAATCTCATTACTGAAATTATTATTGCAAATTCAACCCCCAAAAATCCAAATATGTGTAAAGGAAGTAAATGTAAGTTTCTCTTCTGCAGGGTACTCTGTCCAGTGATAAAAACGAGCTGTTATTCTCAGACTTTAGTCTCAACTACAACAGTCTCCCGGAGCTGTATAGAAAAGGATCAGTGCTGATACGGGTGAAGGTTAATACTTCAATTTTACTGCATGTCTCATGTCACTCTACATGTCAAATGAAATACAGGATTTATACTACACTAGATATGTACTTCTGGTATTTCATGATAGACACTTCAACACATGTTAAATGAAGTACTGGATTCATACTTCCATGAATGACATAAGTCCATGTGACAAATAAAATATAGGATTAATAATTTTATTATAAGATACATCATAACTATTTTGCATGTTCATGAACTGAATTTTTGTGAATCTTATGTAAGGCTAGCTGTCTTATACTGATGCTCCATTTCATTGTATGTGTAGATGTATGCTAATGTTCAGTGTATATACTGGGTAGGTTTTCAGTTTTCTTTGCTGGTGTTTTTTGCCTTATAAAAATGAATATTACAAAATGGAATTGTCACTTGCTTTCTAGGATACAGATACTGAGCGGCCCACTGATCGTGAGTTACAGAACGGGGTACGAAGCTTGTCAGTGTCGTTCGAGTATCATTTGGACCCTAGCAGTAAACCTCCTCGTATCAACATCCTTCACTCAGACATTATCGGTGAAAAGTTTTGGCAGGAACACCCAGAAATACTGGATGTATAGTTGTAATTGATAATTTTAGTATTAATTCAATTTTTTTATGGCCAGAAGAATTCTATAATTCCTATGAGCATGTTAGAGAGTGTCTCAATACTGGAGATGTCAAACACATGCTGGAGGTTTCAAACAATACTGGAGATGTCAAACACATACTGGAGGTTTCAAACAATGTTGGAGATGTCAAGCACATACTGGAGATGTCAAATACATACTGGAGGTTTCAAACAATGCTGGAGATGTCAAGCACATACTGGAGGTTTCAAACAATGCTGGAGATGTCAAGCACATACTGGAGATGTCAAACACATGCTGGAGGGTTCAAACAATGCTGGAGATGTCAAACACATACTGGAGATTTCAAACAATGCTGGAGATGTCAAACACATACTGGAGATTTCAAACACATACTGGAGATGTCAAACACACTGTACACTGCACCTAGTAGAGGGAATATTCCTCAGTGATATACAGATGGGAGGGAACTTTAAATGCACAGAAATGTTTTCTAGTAATTTTATATTGATCATTTGGACAAGATGAACCAGTATTCAAAAACCAATTTTTACTTGAAGATATTCCATCTATGAATTTACGGTGGTGCATTTTATGAAATTTAAATATAGATATTTGTTCATTGTTGTGACCTAATGACTGTTGAGGAGGTGGAAATATGAAGTGAAAAATGCTCCAGCAACTCAGGTTAATTATGAGACAATTACACGACAGCAGACAATATTTTCATTTTTGTAACGTAAATTTTCGTACGCCTGTGTTTTCAGATATAGAGATATCATTGTGTCAAGTCAGAATTGCGACCATGATAGGACATAGCCAAACTTTGCAAACAAGTATCAAATCTGGCTTAAGTGTGGTTTCTGATACTCGTCAATCATTTATTGTATCATTTCTTAAGTGCAAAAATGGTACAAACAACATCCTTGTATGAGGTTCCTAGCAAGTCCTAGTTCAATCTTATCAAGTCATTATATACACTATATAGTCTTATTCTATTACTTTTACTAATTTATCTAAATTGTAGGTCTTCAAGTTCATTGATATCAGCGAAACCAAAAATTTCAAATTCTAAATTCAAATTCTTTAAAGAAACATTTAAGTTATATCCAACAAATTCGGTAACATCTTTAATCACAGGATTGGAGAATTTCCAAAATAACAGATTTTAAGTTAGTTTATCAAAATCTCAAATCTTAATCAACCATTGTCTCTACTGACATAAACTGCGCTGGCCTTGACCTAAACTGACCCTCAGCATAAACTGACCTTGACCTAAACTGACCCTGACCTTAGCTAAAAGAATGCTTGTTCATACTTTCATTAATACTTGAAAATCAAGATTTAGTCTAAAACGTAAGCAAAATTTCTTTTGTTTGTAAACTTTTTAATTTTGATTATTAATATTAGTTTTGACAGATGTTTTAAATATCTGTAGGTTCCACTATGCTGATACCAGAATTCTGTACAGTATTGTACAGTAGGTTTACCAGCATGAGCTGTTACTCAACTGATACTGTTGCCTGAGTGAGATGCTGTCACATTCAAAATATATACACTGTATTATACTGTACATTACAAGATTAATTATTTACAGACCACAAGTCTAGTGTTGTAAATAACTGTCATGTCAAACAATTAGCATATTTATTGATTGTGTTTAATCATGTAGGTCTGTTACCATTGGTATGTATAGAATTTACCTTAGACATTATATATCTAAATGAATATGGTTTTATACATCACCAGCTAATAACTAAATCAATAATAACTTCTATACAATATAGCATATTGATGAATGTACAAATTAGGGTCAGATTTTAACCTTGATTCCCCATGCAGATGCCAGTTCTAAAAATATGATGTTTGTCAGCTGATGGTGTTATTGATAGCATTTCTGATTAAACATTTCTGGTTTAAATTATGTTTTTGTAACATTCTGAGCTTAGAAAGTAGGTATTTAAATAAAAGGCTCTCATTTTCATTATATTATGTTCCACAGGGAAATATAGATGATAGAGAAAAACAAGTTACTGTATATTTAAATTTTCTTTACAGATGATTCTAGTCTGAAATATCTAACATTAGAGAAAATCAATACTGACACAAATCAATAAAGTGATTGGTGTAGAGTGTAATATCCAATATACATTGGGTTTATTTGATTTCATAAACATTAAATGAAAAAATATATTCATCCATTTGGAAACAATGAGAATTCTCACAATGGCCACCAAATATTTAGTTTGGCACTGTTTTCACTTTTCATAAACAACTCTGTATGATGCAATTTTGTAAAGCAAATGAAAAAGTGATGTTGTGTTTTGTGTTGAGAATGAAATATGTTTTTACAGAGTTGTCTTACTTAACCAGGTAGTATAAGGATGATAAATGGTAAAATTTTCAGGATTGATGGGGGATATACACATATATATCAGCTACAACCCAAAGTATAGAACAGCGAGGTTGGCTGTTGGTGGTGAAACCTGTACAAGATCTCACTACCCTCCGGAATAGGACCAAAGCATTTGTTTGTGATTGTATCTGATAGCAATGTTGAATATTCAAATATACCTTTTCATGTCCAACATGTTTCGCAACTTTCACTATAAGAGGGAAGTCGGTACACACTAGGCCTACTGTACTGTACCGGTAACATTTTCATGGAACAGAATAGAATCTACAGTGACTTGATGTTTTCAATATGATGAATTTAATACAAGACTAGTTATAACAAAAATATCAGTTGTGTATTGAAGGGTCTTGTACAAACTCTAGCAATACAAGCATTTCTGTGACTCAGATCACTTATTTCTGTATGGATTTGGTAATGGGAAAAGTAAGACAAAGTGATACATGATAAACATATGGAAGTTACAGATCCGTTGTTCTTCACACCATAAATGTATACATTGATAAAGTCTATTTCCCTCTGTACAAGTGACACAAAGTGTGTGGATAATACACCAGTGTGATTCAGCTTAGTGTGCAAGTGATATTATACAAAACATCCCATTAACTATATGCTGTCCATGTCATTTCAAAGTGATGAGCTGTTTTACCATTTTGTACAAAGCACTAGATTCCTTATAAAGAAATAAATGTTGTGACCTTGCTTCCTTGGCCCCTGTATATGTGCCATGTAGGGCAGCAATAGCAAACAGGATGTACAAGTTCAAATATCCACAGCAATAAATGTTTACAGAATCAAAATGTGTTTCATTACTTCTATTCACTTTTAACAGTTGTTAAAGGATATTCTACCATACTCCAGAACCTTGTACTGTCTGACCAGAATTGCCGTGTTCACCTTTCAGTATAATATTGAAAATGAGTGACATGATATTTCTGAAGGTCATCCAACATCTCAAAGAAAATGTTGACATGGTAATTACAGGTAAAACACATCTTTGAGTATATACTGTACTCTGTACCACTACAGAAATGATAGACAGGCATGAGTAGATTTTAACATCCCTGGTAAAGGTCATTGTAACAGGTCGTTCATGACCGATGTAACACAAAGTCAAGACAAAAATTTAATCAATTTTAATCACAAGCAAAAAATCATACATAGTAAATTCTACTTCATTCCATTTAATTTCATTTCAATTACATAAAGGATTTTACCCTGATCATAGTTCGACTTTCATATAATATTTCTTTTTTTATATATTTTTTTAAATTGAAGTTATTTAATACTGTTACCTTTTTCTTTTTTTTTTTAATTTATGGCTTTCTTCACATTTTCCCTTACAAACAACATGTGACATTAATTAAAATGCTTGGTATTATATTTGAATAAATAAATAAACCAGTTATAAGCTACCTATTATATAAACACATAAAACACAAGTTTGTTGTATCTCATAATCGCAAACCCATTACACTTGATTCACTGACCTTGGCCAACATCTATTCTACAACAGTTGGAATTTTCCTTTGTAAATTTCTTTCTTTTCTCTATTTGAGGATTTCACAATCTTCAAATTATTAATATAAACATCACAATATGCATCTCATTCCTTAAGAATTTGGAATTCTTTAACATGTAAAGCATAATATTTCACTACAGTTTAAAATTTCTGTTTTCAAAGTAAAGGGAAAGTTTTATTTAAAGCCTTAGCTTCTGATAACTACTGTACAACGTACCACTGGTTTTCCTTACAAACATACATCAACATTCATCCTTTTCTTGTCTATATAACATATTCACAATCTTATGGTCCGTTAACAAATATACTTCCTTCGTCGGACTCGGAACAAATTAAAATAAAAACTTTAAAAAAAAATTTGTAAATGTCTACAGTTTCCTTATCACTTATTCATTTAAAGTTACAATAAATCTGAAACAAACATGTTAATAAAATACAGCAAGTCTTTATATCATTCTGAATGTAACATCACATCTTTATGTAAAATGTTAAATATCTACCTGGTAAAATACATGCTCCTGTAAGTTTTTACTTTTCAACGTTTTGGAATTTCCATATAAGGAGATTGTACATGTTTAGCTCATGAAAAAAATTCCTAGACCTTGTTTTCACACACATACATATTTCTACCTTTGCACATTTCTCACATTCACAACATTCAGTACTTTAAAAAAAAAACCAGTCATCCACTTGATCATAAATAAGATGATATATATCATGTGTATAATAAAAATGATGTTTACCTGATCACACCGGTTCATTACAACCCCATCTACAGTGACCAATATTCAATGGTCCCCTGAGCAGTCACTGTAAAAAGATTTGACTTATCCTAAAACGATGGAAGTTCTCAGAAAACACTGAAGTTTTGTGTTCCTTGTAATTAAGTTACTAATCATCTTAATGTTGTATGATGGAGGTTAGATGTGATGTATCTTAAAAAGTATAGGGAAAAGGTAGGAAAATGACACCTCTGTAATTATATAAAATATCATGGTGTATAGATACATACCTTAAGGGTGTTACAAATTTGGTAGAATTTCAGAAGACTGAGAGGTAATGAGAATAAAAATGTCATGGTTAATGCTTGTATATTTGTATTTACTATAGGACGTCGCCACATATTACATACTATTAACTCACATAAAAGTCTTCATCTGAAATCACAGATAGCTGTTTGTGTGAATAAATTCATGAGTATGTTTGTAACTCAAATGGACATGTACATCTGGGTGGTGATTAAGCGAGTTTTATCATAGGCAAATTAAAAAACCATAAACCCTGTATGATTATTAGAAAATTAGCCCTCAGTGCAGAATTGCAAGTTGAATGAAGTTAGATTGACCTATATTATGAAAACACTTCTTGTATAAAACCATCAAGCTTGATAATACAGTATAGTCAATTAACAGTATGTAGCCCATGTTCAAAATAGTCAAGCCCTCAAACACTATTTTAAAATCTTGGTCCTTTAAAACTTTATTTCTCGTATAAAACAATCTAGCCCATTAAAACTGATTGTTATTTAAAAGTCTAGCCCATTAAAACTGATTGTTATTTAAAAGTCTAGCCCATTAAAACTGATTGTTATTTAAAAGTCTAGCCCATCAGAACTGATTTTTATTTAAAAGTCTAGCCCATTAAAACTGATTTTTATTTAAAAGTCTTGCCCATTAGAACTGATTTTTATTTAAAAGTCTAGCCCATTAGAACTGATTTTTATTTAAAAGTCTTGCCCATTAAAATTGATTGTTATTTAAAAGTCCAGTCCATTAAAACTGATTGTTATTTAAAAGTCCAGTCCATTAAAACTGATTGTTATTTAAAAGTCCAGTCCATTAAAACTGATTGTTATTTAAAAGTCCAGTCCATTAACAATGACCATTATATAATACAGTCTGGTCCATTAACACAGGTTCTTATATAAAATAGTCTAGCCCTTTAAAACTGATTCTTATATAAAACATCTAGCCATTAATATATTCCTTTCATAAAGCAGATGTATTACAATTTGCTGGTATTCATTATGTGTATACATGTATTTAAAATATGGAATCAAATGATATCCACATAGCTATTCTCCAAAATTATAATTAATGGTACTGTATAGTGGAATGTATTGTAGAAAGGTAGTGTGGTCCACCTTCACTACTAACTGCACAGTTTGGCACAAGCTGCGGTAGTACAAACATCTTGCCAAATTTGAAATAAAACACAGACATTAAAAATGGCAAATCTATATAAACACTGACTAAAGGCAAAAAGTCAACTTATCACTGTATAAAAATATTCAAATAATATTTGAACAGATTGGTTTGTAAGTATATATAGTGCATTACCTCTTGTGTAAATGACTTTTTATAAAATGTTATTTAGATAAAAATAACCGGATAATTTACACGATAAATTATATCAAACTAAGCACCTGAGGGGTAGGGGGTTAAAAGACATGCAAGACATGCATGTATGGCTGTTTGTGTTGTAACAATTCTCTTCCACAATTTTTTGAAACAATGGTTAATAAAACCAGGATGTACCCATTTTTTCACCAAGATAAAAAACAAATAAGTGAAATATACAAATGTAATCTCTTCAAAGAAAGCATGATTTTCAACATCACCTTTGGATTTGGCAAAGATAAAGCATATTACTACACAATAAAGAATGGAATGTTGACATTCACAAACTTCCAGTGACTGTAGAAATTACAAACATATTACAAACAAGAGTACTGCCTTGTGTAGTATTTAGCATTTCTGAGATAGCCAAGTAGCCAAGTGTAGTATGTTATTGGTAACATGATACATTATTCATTCCAGATAAGCTGTGGATTCAAAATTTATCGAAGGGCCATCACTCTGTATATAGTTTAGCTATACATAAATTTTTGTGACACTCCATTAACTCTCCTCCTTAGATATTGAAAATAAGGCGGCGAGTGAATCGGTGGGTGAAATAGAAAGGTATACTCAAGATAAAGTTTACTATCAAAAATGAATAAATGAATAAAGCACAGAGACATTCCATATTTCCATGCTAGATGAATAAATATAGGAAGTAAAGACGGCCAAATGTTGATGCCCAGCAAGTCAACCGACCTGAAAATGGTATTATATGTTATAGGAAATCTTGTCATAGCTTGGAAGTTATAAAAGATATACCCAACAGCAAAACATTAGCATTCCATTTCATAAATCAACTTTCTGTACATTAAAGTACAATATTAAAGCCCACCAATTAAATATTGTCAATAAATATTAACCATATTTATCCTGCAATAAGGCATATAAGCCTGTGGAGGAGGGGAAGGGCAACGCAATACCTCTAAAGGGACGTGGGGTGAAGGGATGGGCTTGATTGGAGACAATGAAATTGCACTTCTTTACAATTTGTTATTCTTCTGCATTGCACCTGAAGAAATTGAAAAAAAAATAGTAACAGTGTTATGACCGGTTGTACATTATTTATCATTATTAATGGTTCATTGATATATCAAAGTACTTTGAAAAATAAAAACATACATTTGTGATAAGTGCCATATGTTCTCCGAATGTTTTCACTCCAGCTAAATAAGTTATACAACATCAAGCACCATAATCTGTTGATACACAACCTTAGATATAGTTGTGAAGTATGTTAATTACTACAACAGAATACATTATCAATAATTGTTCAAAAGGAGGTCATACTAATCTGGCAGGAAAACTAGCTCATCATGAAACTAATGGAGAAGTTTTGTCTACAGAAAACTGTAAACTCCTCGGAGATTTCATTTGATTTGCACTCTCTTTTATAAAGGAAACCATTTAAAAAATCTCACAAAAATATGGTTGTTAATTGCTGTTTGTGCTTAAGATAAACATCTCTGTAAATCCAACAATATCTTTTTTTAAACACTGATGATATAAAGAAAAATCTTCATATGTGTTTGTGTTCAATGCAAATGTATTTTAGTGTATAGAAACATTTCTTTATTCCTCAAAAGAATTTACAAATTGACTTCCATTCAAACAGTACAAAATTTCCTATTTGTTCTAATATAGATATTTACTCTCACTCCCTAGGGTCCATGATAACCCTGTATCAACTCGATGTGAACACCTTTAATAAGGGTAAACAACTCTGATGAAACTAATGGAAATAAAAAATATATCACAAGTGCACAACTTAAGGTTATAAAAATATGTATTATACCTAGTTCCATAAGAGTTTGTTGAAGAGAGGGACACACTAATGAATTACCTCATCCCTGCTGTAAGAGATGTAATCATACAGAGGCAGATGTGTAAATTGCAAGCAATTAACCAAATTGTCATCCAAGCTCTTCCATTTTAATGCAGAACATTCATCTATATCCTGGATATAGATCATTCAGAAACTGAAACAGAATTCTGTAATATTTTTCCAGCCATGATTTTCTGTTCGGCTTTCAGGCGTTTGTAGTCACCCCTCAGGAAGATAATACCTATTACTGCGGCAACGGTTCCATAACATAACATAAATATAATAGGATCTGAAAAAGAAAAACAAAATGAGATAAAAATAAATTTTCTAGCCAGAAAAAAAGTAACGTGAGCCAAAAGTTGGTCAAAAAAGGGGCAACTATATATAGTAAAGCTAGGGTAACAGACAAATAGACATCTGTAATAGGAGTACATAGCCCAACATTTTGTGGCTGGAGCAGATAAAACATTAGATCACTGACCTGTCCAATCCTGAGGAGTAAAGCTATTGGTAGAAGCTGCTCCACAACCTACAACAGGTAAAACAGCTTAAACCTCATCACATTCTGTCATTCACTAAGCAAAGCAATTGGATGAATCAAGGAATTTTGGAAAGAAATTAGTTTCTAATTTCAAAACAGACATTCAAAATAGGGATATTTTAACAAAATGAAAGATTATGTAAAAACAAATGAATTCAAAATGGAAATATCTTAATAGAGATAAATTTTGAAGGCTAAATACACTGAAACTTATCTTAGATAGGCAAAAGAATGCATCATACAAACAAGATCTAAAACTGTACCTACCAACTACACATCTGGAATAGGACATTTCAGTAGCAGGGAGAGGTTGGGCTAAAACCTGTGCCACCAATATCATAATGATTCCCTGGACCTGTCTGTAATATAATTTTTCAGGTAACAATATTTCAGATAACATAATATGTCAGATAGCATATCATTTGTATGTCATACAGCATACTAAAATATGTCAGATAGCATAACACAATAGATCAGATACATAACACAATAGATCAGATACATAACACAATAGGATCAGATACATAACACAATAGATCAGATACATAACACAATAGATCAGATACATAACACAATAGATCAGATACATAACACAATAGGATCAGATACATAACACAATAGGATCAGATACATAACACAATAGATCAGATACATAACACAATAGGATCAGATACATAACACAATAGATCAGATACATAACACAATAGGATCAGATACATAACACAATAGATCAGATACATAACACAATAGATCAGATACATAACACAATAGATCAGATACATAACACAATAGATCAGATTCATAACACAATAGATCAGATACATAACACAATAGATAAGATACATAACACAAAACTGGAGAGCAGATTGTCACATTATGCATTTCACTGACTTAGATATACACTTTATACTGATGAAGTAATCACTTCATAATGATTTAGTATATATCAGACTGACATAGTGTATGCTTCATACTTACACATGTTTCACACTTTCGCAGTTTATAGTACACATCATACCCAAGTACACACTTCATTCTGACGTTTTACAAACTTGATATTGAGATAGCACACAGTCTACAATAATACTCTTAAATTACATTTTTCAAGCTGATAAATTTCACTTCTGGTATATCCATTGCAGCTGCAATGAAAATTGACTGAAGAGATTCATACTGTAGTAGACTCTGACACCAAAATGTCTCTAAAACAAGACTTAAATATGTATCTGATGTATTATAACTCACACTTACCCAGACACGACAAGCAGACCCGAACTTGTTGCCTCGGCGACAGGATATGTAATTTCTACTGCCATTTCAAGGCTGATAGGATACAGAGCAAACCCGAACATTCCAAATAAACAGATAGATGCTGCGATTAATGCTTCCTGGTCTCTGAATCGGGAAACCTGCCAAAACATACAAGTATAGCATATTAATTTCTTCTTTTTCCTTTTAAAAAGACAAGAAAATTGAAAGATGCATATTTCATAATTTCTTGGGGAAAAAAATTACGTCTATCAGTATTAATCATACTGAAATATATTCTATAAGATCTACTGCTTAAACAGATTCTATAGAATATTCTGCTAAACCAAAAGATACAAAATTATCCTACTATATATCATAGAGATATGTGAAATGGTCAAACCCGAACAGCTTTCTAGGAACTCCAAACATTCAAATCATCACCAAAACTCAATCACACAGGTTAAAGATTGGATATACTTCTCACCTCCATGAAACCTACAGCGAATACAATGGCCGTCCCATAAGACACCTTAACAACCTCCTCAAACCGCTTTGTCTTGTCCACATAGATACCAGATATGATGGCCCCAAACAGGCCACCCGCGATCATCAGCGCCCCACATATCCCTGAGAAGTCCTGTAAAAATGCACATCACGTAATATGTAAACTGACTTTGTACTATATATACAGAGTCTGTTCGCCATCAGATAAATATTCATGAATTAACAAACACATATCACAGAATTTAACTGGTATTTGTTTAGCGGTGTGAATTAGACATTTTATCTGTTTATTGTATTGACTCTCTGATACTTCAATTTTCAATGTTCACCAATAAATGGTAGACAATGGTAAGATAACACATTGGGTTATGTGCTCATCTTTTATCCAGGATACCTGTATTATAATTCAGCATCTGACACAATAAAGTATAATCTATGTGATCATACAGGTTTACTTCAGTGACGTTTCTGGCCAATATAACAACTCATTTATGTTTGTTTTCTCTGGTTTTCAAATTTTTGTCATATGACTTTAGTTTATTATTGATAGATACATATGCAAAGCCATTGAAAAACCTGAAGATACTTATATGTCTACAATGAAGTATTCTTTCAGATAAATACTTATATAGAAGTATCCTTGCAAACAGATATTTACATTGCTGTATCCTCCCAGATACTTACATTGGCATGCACTTACTGACAGATACTTACATTGGAGTATCCTCCCAGACAGATACTTACATTGGAGTATCCTCAAAGACAGATACTTACATTGGAGTATCCTCACAGACAGATACTTACATTGGAGTATCCTCACAGACAGATACTTACATTGGAGTATCCTCACAGACAGATACTTACATTGGAGTATCCTCCTAGACAGATACTTACATTGGAGTATCCTCCTAGACAGATACTTACATTGGAGTATCCTCAAAGACAGATACTTACATTGGAGTATCCTCACAGTCAGATACTTACATTGGAGTATCCTCAAAGACAGATACTTACATTGGAGTATCCTCACAGACAGATACTTACATTGGAGTATCCTCACAGACAGATACTTACATTGGAGTATCCTCAAAGACAGATACTTACATTGGAGTATCCTCACAGACAGATACTTACATTGGAGTATCCTCAAAGACAGATACTTACATTGGAGTATCCTCATGGATAGATACTTACATTGGAGTATCTTCGTGGATAGATACTTACATTGGAGTATCCTCACAGACAGATACTTACATTGGAGTATCCTCAAAGACAGATACTTACATTGGAGTATCCTCACAGACAGATACTTACATTGGAGTATCCTCACTGACAGATACTTACATTGGAGATCCTCCTAGACAGATACTTACATTGGAGTATCCTCAAAGACAGATACTTACATTGGAGTATCCTCACAGTCAGATACTTACATTGGAGTATCCTCAAAGACAGATACTTACATTGGAGTATCCTCACAGACAGATACTTACATTGGAGTATCCTCACAGACAGATACTTACATTGGAGTATCCTCAAAGACAGATACTTACATTGGAGTATCCTCACAGACAGATACTTACATTGGAGTATCCTCACAGACAGATACTTACATTGGAGTATCCTCAAAGACAGATACTTACATTGGAGTATCCTCAAAGATAGATACTTACATTGGAGTATCCTCACAGACAGATACTTACATAGGAGTATTCACACAGACAGATACTTACATTGGAGTATCCTCAGACAGATACTTACATTGGAGTATCCTCAGACAGATACTTACATTGGAGTATCCTCGTGGACAGAGAATCTGATCAAGAAACGACGTAAAGGCAGTAAAAATGGCAAGACCAGCTCCAAACAGAAAGTTAAGTATCCAGTAGTTCTTGTTTTTAGCCATCTGTAAAAGGATCATACATACATAAACTACATGCACCATCTAAGATGTTCTTAATTAGTAAAGAGATGTAAGAGTACAAACACAAACTACCGCAGAAAAAAATTCTTTTTGATAATCTAGGATTTTTTTCCCTTTCAAGTGATATTGATTTTTTTCTTTTTTTCACATTTCAGACAAATTCCACCATTAAATCAAGATACACAATGATTTTAACTTACCTCAAAGACAAACTTTAACAAAAAAACCTGATTTTACCGAAATTAAAACTGGAAACAATAATGGACATTACTGGAGAGAGGGCACTTGTCAGTAAAAAAATTTGGTATGAGACTTTTCAAATCAATAAGCAAACATTAGGTATACAAAAATATTTATGCACCTTTTTGAATCCCTGGATGAATGGCTGTGAGGCTTCATCAGCACTAGCTGATGGAGGTGTCGGAGGTAGAGAGCTACAAACACCAAACGTGGTCATCAGCATCACCATTAGCGCAGGTCCTGTGACCACCCACAGCTGCAATATCATGTGAAATTATATTTTACTACATACCATTCAAGTTCTAATATACAATCATTTTTTGTCATGTAGAATGAATATTATTGAAAAAAAAACACAATAACAATCAATAACCTGATACAAGTTATTGTGAGGCTGGATTCTGTATCACACTGGATCCCCTCATACAGAACTCTCCTTTACAGATTTCCATAGTTTTCATCTGAAAGGTTGATGTTTACACTCAACTCATAATGCACAAGGCAACAAGAGAGAAAGAGAAAGAACCATCCAGTACTTCTCCAGAAATAGTGATAACAATCTCCATTGTTGAAATCCAAGATGGTTGCCTGTTGGACATTTTACTTTTCTGACCAGTTCCATAACAAATTGGCACAACTAAGGAGCAAGGGGAGCCTACATATGGAAGTTAAAAGAGAGAGATACATCCAGGACCTCTCCAGAAATTGCAATAAAAAGCTTTCATTGTTGAAATCCAAGATGGCTGCCTGTCTGCCATTTTCTTTTTCTGATCAGTTCCTCAAACAAAAAGGCACCAAAATTCTTTAAGAACAGACGGACCATCTACGCAGGGCAGTTTGAATAGTCTACCATCTGATGATGGTGAGCTAAAAAGATGACTTAAAACAAAATATTCCATACATCATATCAGCTTATCTTAACAAATATCAACACATGAGATATACTTCATCAACATTACACACAGACACTTACGGCAATCGGTATTTCCTTCTTGTTACAGCCATTGACAATTGCCGGCAGTAAGACATTTGTGACGAGAATTCCCAATGGATTTGCTATCAAAAGATTACACAAAATAAAGTCCCTGTCATTGGAAATTTTTACACTCATTCAAACAGAAAATTGACATTAAGTATCACTACCATATTTGGTAATAACTTTAACAGATTAAATTTTGAAAGTGAGCAAGAAATTTAAAATATCTAATGAGAATTAGAATTCTCAAGAAAAAGTGAAAAGAAAGCAAATGTTATAAATCATTAATTTGACATAGAATTGAAACAAAAAAAAATAAACGTGATCTTTTTATCATAATATCAAGGACAAATTTTCAAACATGTATGCAAATTCCAAGAGAGTCTGAAATTTTAAAGAAAATTAATGAGCAAACACTGGGTATTATGTATTATGCCAACTCTGCAACATCGCAACCAGAAAAAAATATTAAAACAGAAATTAAATGGTACAGCATTCCAACCCTGGTTTAAAACTATTAAAAACCTTACCCATGGATGTTAACATGTTGGCAGTTGCTCTCTGGTTTTCTGGGAACCAGAGAGCTGCCAGTTTAGTTGGGGCAAACATGACAAAGGGTTGAGCACATGCTGCCATGATCTGCCCAACCAGTAGCACTGCAAACCTGGAATCATCTGGGACAAAGTTGAATGTACTGAAGTTCCGAAGCAATGACCCAACACCATTCAGCCATGCTGCAGTAAGCAACTGAAATTAAAGAGAGAGATGGGATTAACATTCCCTCAGGTTCTCATTTTATTTCACATTCCTTAGCATAAACATGTACACTGTACTTAAATCATAAATTACCAATTCACACTTACAGAGAAATGTCTTACCTAATATAAAAAAAGTGGTTATTTCATAGTCAAGCTTCATATTTTTTATTACCAAGTAATCAGAATCAAGTATTACAGCTATTTCAGATCCTATGTACTTATATCATCATGCTGATACTTTCGGAGACACAGTTAAAACTCAGAATCAAATTTTTATAATGGACTGGACAGGCTTTATCGTTGCAATTTGATTGGTCAATCCATATGCAATACTTAATATGGCGCTGATCTGCATAGTAGCAAGAGGAGATAACTCTTCATAGCTTATTATAACAAAATTAGAATTACATCAATGTATTAGACAGATACAACCATATGGGTGTTAATGTACCATAAAATAGGTTTAACAACTGCTAAATTATAAAATTTTGTTTCATAATATGATGAAAAATTTTTTTGTGACACCCATAATTCAAGGTCCTTTGATCCATAAGAACAAATATCCTGAAGTGATTCAATTGTTACTTCAATGTTCAAGATATCCCTGGTACAAAAATAGCATTAATCCTCTTACACTGCCCAAAGGTTTTTCCTTTAGAGACCAATGTTTATCATAATAGAGGCAATATTGAGGAGTGACTACCTCAAGTAAATGTCTATATAGGGAAAATATGGTCAATGTCTTTAAATATCAGCTGTATTTTGGCAACAGTTAAGAATAACACTAGTAACAAGCTTTTAGTGAGCCACTTTTGTCTTTCTGTCCCAAGCCACAATGTAGTTTGTATTTTAAGACATCTTGCAACACTTATTGAAAATTCAGATTACAGAAATTTCAAAGGTTTGTGAGGGCTATTTAATCTCTATTTACCTGATGTTAATGTTACACTGAAGTGAGCCCGGTGACGCCCATCAAAATAATTGCACTCTATGGAAATATACATCCATTCTTTATTAGATATAAAAAGCAATTTTCGTAATTTTTATAGATTTCATTAACTTGTTTGTTACAACAAGTAAGATAGATTGGATTATTTAAAAGGCTTCTGTATTTTTGGATGAATATCTATAATCAGTAAATCAGAAAGTTATCCTGTTGAAGTTATCCACATGAGGTTCCAATGGTCACATTCAAAATTTGTAGTGAAATAAGGAAATTTACATGCATGTGAAAAAAATATGTGCTACAATATTATAAATGTATGCAATATGATTTTGAACATAAATATCATATGACTATATGACCTTCTGATGGAGAACATATTTTTTCCACAGAATCATGGTGTTGTATTAAAATGACAGTCATTGGAAATGAACTTCCCTGGTAGATTTTATATATCAGTGTGACGGACTGAAGATCACATCAATATTAATATTGTGAGTCTAGTTTGTTGGCTATTTTGATATATATATATATATGTATATACTCACACTTGCTCTCAGGCCGAAAGTATCTAATATCCATGATGCTGTCAGTCCAAAAGGAATGGAGGCGATGAGAAACACCAATGACAATATATTAACTTGGAAAGAATTTATATTGTAGTAGACTGTAGTCAGGTCAGCTATAGGAGAAAATGTAATCCATACCTGGAACCAAATCATACAGAGCAATAGGTATTTGTAACCTGTCAAAGGAGACATTGATCATTCTTAATGTATATAGTCAGATATAACTGAATGAGACACAAACAACTGAACAGGGTATCTAAGTACATATATCAAGCATGGGTAAATCTAGAACTTTGGGAATAAAAAGAACATGGAGAAATTTTGGACAATGTTGTGGTTAGATTGATATTTTTTCCTGGTTGCATGATCTGAAAATATGTGAAGTAAAATGTTTTATTCTTTTTCCAAGAAAACGTTCCCTATTTCGGGGAAACAGTCCACCAAGCAAATATTTAGAGAGGAAACCAAACTACTTGAGGAATACTACCCTTTTGCCTTGCTAAACTTTGTCTACATTAATCTCTGACAAGCTATAATAATGAAACCTAATGCAGGTCCCGTGCACCGTGACAGAAAATTAACTGATCGAAAGGTTCCTCAACAGAGGGCGTTATTTTTTATGGTTTTTGTGCAATTTAATTCCTATTTTCGGTTTCATGTCAAAAAAATAACATATGAGCAACCCCTAATGTTTATTGAAATGAACTGTATTTCTTATTAATCTTTCTACTTGTCCATAACACTATGTAATTATAAGGCAAACGATCGGGTGATAACGCGTCAGATCGGGCCACATTTTAACATCGTTTCGGCCAGGCAACCGAACTATGTTCTGACCACATGATTCTAAGTCTCTTACCATAGCATTTGATAAATTTAGGATGCTGACAACGATGAGGATGAACCATCGCCACTTGTAAGTCCTGTACTCCGATGGTGTACTAGACGAGGAAGAGAAATCATTAGTTACTACACTTCGTTCATTTACAACAACAGTTTGTCCACCGCCCGTCGGCGCCATTTTGTCCTCACATGGATCATGTGACATGGTCTTAAAGATGCGCATCCCTATATATTTAGTTTTATTTCCCCAGTTAACAATACACGAACAAATAGTTGCATATCAATTGAATTAATATATATATCTTTTTATTAATTAATATAGGAAATAATATAACAAATTAACATGAAACACTACGACCATTAATACGTATAGACTTGTTCAAGTCCCACATAACTCAGGAATATAAAGCATATCAAAGTTCATTTGATTACACGTTTCTCAAACATAAGTCTATTCATCACATAAATGCCAATTTATTTAATTATAGCATGACATAGCGGAGACTTGATGAGCTAAGTGTACCCACTGTTCCCGTTGTGACGTCATAACTTCATAGTCTCTTAATCGTTATTTCTATGCAGTTCGTGATAGCAATCAAATTATGATTAAGTTGAGAGTTGAATTGAATACATTCAACCATTAAATGGTCGTCAGATTTTATTCATAGCTTATATGAATGCAGTATGATCTATGATCGATAAAACGTCATATCGTCCGTAACATATGACGTATCATAGAGACAATGATTATAATCTGATAATCTGTATATGAAGTCGTATATATATATATATATGTATGCATTGTATATATTATTTTGAAATATAGTTTTTTACAGTCAGGATATAATATTGGTATTTAACTTTAGGTATATTCATTTAATGGAGGTACTTTCTGCTAATCATGCTAATCTAAATGATTGTTATAAGGCTATGACGAGTGTGTATTTAGGACAAAGTGTCGGTGACGTGAAGCTGGTCAACGGCAAACTAGAATGTGAAGAGTGTACATGTATCTACACTACTGCGAACACAATCCAGATTAATTAACACTTAGTAGAATGAAAGGCTCTAAAACGCGTGTCATAAATCTGTCGCAGAGGTACAGGTGTTCAGTATATACATATGTGCAATAGGAAGTAGTAATGAAAATCAAGCTTCTCCCACCAGAGTTCAAAAAACTTTGGTGCCGGTAACCACTCCAAGGTCTCCTTACAAGCCCTTTTCTTTAGTCGAGCAATAGTGAGTCCGGCTACTGACCAAAGAATCGCGAGTTCGAACCTCAGCGACGACAGTGTTTTCACAATCATTACTCCTTCTTATTACACATGTATACGCCTCGATTCATCTTAGGAGTGCACGTTCTGAGCTTAAATGATAATGGTAATTTAGGTCGGCATCGTATGTAACCAGTTCTATATACCATGTAAAATTCAGGAATCCGAATTCTGTTCCAACAATACCTACCTGTCATCGTTCGGACTCCTCATTTCCATACCTAGGACGTTTGTCGACGGGGACATCTGGTCATTGATAAGAAATCATAAAGGGGGCGATCTAGAAAATCGATAAATTTCAAAGCACAGCGGATTTAGGGAGATTCCCACATTATTTTTCCAACAACATACTTCTTAGTCAACATGGATCAATACGATGACGTAACGCTGTCTAACCGTCAACTTGGCTGTTACTAAGATATGAGTTGAACTGCATTTGCCAATGCTTTTTGTCCTTCTCAACATTTTTTAAAGCTACATAACCTCATGCAGCTAGATGTATACATGTAATATAAATGATGACAGCTTTCAATGTTTTAAACTTGGAAATGCATACAACTTCGCTAACAAAAATTTAACATACAGAGCACACTTTAATATAAATGCTCATTGTCAACATGAACTGGGTACATTACTGTCGTACACACCTAGCCATAGCTGGGTGCAGTGTCGTACATCTCTAGCCATAGCTGGGTACATTACAGTGTTGTTCATCTCAAGACATACCTGGGTGCATTACAGTGTTGTACATCTCTAGACATAGCTAGGTACATTACAGTGTCATACATCTCTAGCCATAGCCGGGTACATTACAGTGTTGTTCATCTCTAGACATAGCTAGGTACATTAGTGTCGTACATCTCTAGACATCGCTGGGTACATTACAGTGTCATACATCTCTAGACATAGCTGGGTACATTACAGTGTCATACATCTCTAGACATAGCTGGGTACATTACAGTGTCATACATCTCTAGTCATACCTGGGTACATTACAGTGTCATACATCTCTAGTCATACCTGGGTACATTACAGTGTCATACATCTCTAGACATAGCTGGGTACATTACAGTGTCATACATCTCTAGTAATACCTGGGTACATTACAGTGTCGTACATCTCTAGTCATAGCTGGGGACATTACAGTGTCGTACATCTCTAGTCATAGCTGGGTACATTACAGTGTCATACATCTCTAGTCATAGCTGGGTACACTGTCATACATCTCTAGTCATAGCTGGGTACACTGTCATACATCTCTAGTCATAGCTGGGGACATTACAGTGTAGTACATCTCTAGTCATACCTGGATACAGTGTCATACATCTCTAGTCATAGCTGGGTACACTGTCATACATCTCTAGTCATAGCTGGGGACATTACAGTGTAGTACATTTCTAGTCATACCTGGGTAAATTACAGTGTTGTACATCTCTAAACATAGCTGGGTACATTACACTGTCATACATCTCTAGTACATCTCTAGTCATAGCTGGGTACATTACAGTGTTGTACATCTCTAAACATACCTGGGTACATTACACTGTCATACATCTCTAGTCATAGCTGGGTACATTACAGTGTAGTACATCTCTAGTCATAGCTGGGTACATTACAGTGTCGTACATCTCTAGTCATAGCTGGGTACATTGCAGTGTCATACATCTCTAGACATACCTGGGTACATTACAGTGTCATACATCTCTAGATATACCTGGGTACATTACACTGTCATACATCTCTAGTCATAGCTGGGTACATTACAGTGTTGTACATCTCTAAACATACCTGGGTACATTACAGTGTTGTACATCTCTAAACATACCTGGGTACATTACAGTGTTGTACATCTCTAAACATACCTGGGTACATTACAGTGTTGTACATCTCTAAACATACCTGGGTACATTACAGTGTTGTACATCTCTAAACATACCTGGGTACATTACAGTGTCATACATCTCTAGACATACCTGGGTACATTACAGTGTAGTACATCTCTAGTCATAGCTGGGGACATTACAGTGGAGTACTATGCTTTCTTCTCGAACTATAGCTCAGTCGTATGTTAAAACTTCAAACTGTCTTATTATATAGACAAGCAACACTACAAGTAAAGCTAAGTAACATATCGTAGACAAGACTGTTCAAACTCATTTAACAGTTGAGCACATGTGACTTCACTAAACGTTATGAAGGTTACAAAGGTAAAATAAAATCCAAGAAAATCAAATTAATCTATTGGTTATTGTGTGAATGAGACCATACACAAGTGATGAGATATGCGATCCATTTTGTTCTCGGAAAACATTTCCAGGTCCAGAATTTGATTTTCTACACAGGTGATTGTCAACAAAATAATTCGGCAAATTACAGTGCCCATGGAATGGCAAAGTCAAGAACGCCCTGCAAGTGAACCCATCCACTGAACTCATTTACAATAATATAGTGTGTGGTATATATCGGCCACACAAACTATTGTTAGATGCAGGTCGAAGATCAAATGTGCAAAGTACCCTACCCTCGACATATGACCCTGCCTCACCAATGTGACCCATACCCCGAGTATGGAGATATGATGTCAGGTAGTACCGGACTTAAAGACACAACGGACACAATACAAAACTCTACCACCCCTTCCCAGTCTCCTTTCCGATAATTTCACCAAAATGTGACAAAATCATCGCATTTGACTTAAATAGCATTCACACAAAAACCAGTGTCACGTCGATAATACAGCCGTTCCATCTGACTGAACGAGAGGACAGTTTCGTGAAACTACTACGAATATGAATATATTTAGTCCTTTATCAAATAAGTTTAGCTACATGATTATGGGGTAATAAATTTACCTGATCTCAAGTGGACATTCTTTAGTCTGTTCATCTGTAGGCAGGTACATCAAGACTGTTTCCTCCATAACTTTCCTGAAAACACTGGGAAGTATCTTCAACAAATCATAGACAGAAAATGGAAAATGGGCTTGTTACCGACACAGAAATATACCTCATCCAGCCTTTACTCTAGTTTACCCGGAATGCATTGCACGGAAAACTGTGTTTCCAAAACAATTCTTAGCGTGGCTGTTTACACGCCATATTTCAGGACAAAGGTCACTTAATTGTTGATGTAGTTAGTTAAAATTTTCTAAAACTGCTTTGTCATTCTGGAATTCATCGATGCACCATGCTAACCCCACCCCCTTTTCCCCCCGTCCTCTCTCTCGCCATCTCTCTCTCTCTCTCCACATTCCTATTCGGCACAAAAGTGTTATGTCATGATGACACTATACAAGGCCTCTCAGGTGGAATTCTGATCTCGGAAATTATACAGCATGACCACGTGTACTAGTAACAGACAACAAAATGTTAATGAGAAGTAGGTCTCATTACCGATACCGTTGTCCATTACATTTCAAGTGTTTAGATATATATTATACGTTGGTAGTTGACAAATGTTTGTACACATCCTGGTATTTCAGCCATGACACCATGTTATCCACCACCTGGTAACACACTTGTAACGCCATGTTCTCAACTTCTGATAACTGAGCTGTAGCGCCTTAATTTCACGTCCTGATTTTAATCTTCGGTTTGACGCCTTGTTTTCCATCTCTCGGTATTTGAGCCGTGACACATTGTTATCCACTTCGTGACAATTGAGCGACGATGCCTCGTTTCAACCTCTTGGTAACTGAGCTATAATACATTATTTTCATATCATCGTATTAAATTGAACTTTGACGTTTTATTTTCCACATTCTGGTAACGGAGCAGTGACACCTTGTTGTCCGCCTCGTACTATTTGAGCCGTGACGCCTTGTTGTCCACCTCATACTATTTAAGCCGTGACGCCTTGTTGTCCACCTCGTGATATTTGGGCCGTGACGCCTTGTTGTCCACCT